CCTTGTCGCTCAGTGCACCGAGCGCCTCGGCAGCCTCGTGCCTGCACATGGAATCCTCCTCTTTGTCCTCGAGTACGCCCCTCAAGGGTGCGATGGCAGCATCATGGCCAGACTGGCCCAGGCAGTAGGCGAGTTCATGCTTCAACAGAGCTGACGGCGATGCGAAAGCGGCAGCGATGGCCTCGATTGCGGGGACCGTCTGCGCACTGGGTGGCTGCAGACCTGCAAGGTGCTTGAGAGAGAAAAGAGCGCGAAAGCGGCGGGCGAGGGGCTCCGACTCGGAGGTCAGGATGTTGCGAAGCGTGGACACTTGGGTATCCTGCTCTGTGACTGCCATTTTGTTGTTGTGGGAAAAGAGAGTGATTGGAAAAACCTAGTCTTGCACGTAAATGTCTTCCCGATCGCGGCTCGACTCTTTTTTGGCGGGGATCCAAAGATCTAGTGGGGTGTCAGAGTTCCATCTGATTAGATCTTCACCGCAATCTGCAGGCTCCGGCTGGTGCTTGCCGTAGCTGGTTAGGATCCATGTGACAGCGTGGCACGCCAAGTCCAGGGCTGCAGGTGCGGGTGCGCATGCAGGAACAAGCCCTACTTTCACTATGACTCCTTTTCTCCTCGTCTTTGCTCACTGTGAGTGAAGGACGACTAGCAGTTCAACAAGGCGACAAAGAAAACAAAGACGGTACACTGGCCTGCCGCATGGGGAATCGAGTACGCTTCACCCTCACCTTCACCGCGACTTCGCACATCGACTGGAAGGCCCCACCAAGCTCTTTCCACACGACGTCCACGACCGCCTGTCGACAAACCTAGCTCTGTGCAAGCAAACACAAACACCACACAAGACTCCTCACCATGGCGTTTCTTCGCGGAATTCCCGAGACTATCTGGAACTATGTCAGTCCGCGCAAGATACAACACCGGCGGGAGAAGCCGTTCGCGTTTAAGGCGCCCGCGATCCCCAACCGAGTCACGACCCTTCCCAAAAAGACCTCACCACTCACACGAGAGATGAGTCCAGAAGTGCCTGTCAAGACATGCGATCCGCCAGCCTCAACCACTCACTTCGACATCGACGCGGCCTTGTTGCCGCCGTCGCCTCCAGCATCAGCCGTCTCTTCCAAAGACCTAGAGAGCGACATGCTAGCCAAAAAATCACCCGCCGCGCGAGACGACCAGACAGAGGGCTCTTCTGCCGACTTGTGGGATGCGAACGAGGAAACCATGGTTGTTGATGACGGAACTTACATGATTGCACAGAAGAAAGTGAATCACGACCAAGAGAGGCAGAGACAGGACCAGCAAGCGCGTGAGCTGCGCGATGCTGGTTGGTCTGAGGACGCTGTCTTCCTTTTCCAGAAGCTGGGCATGCGCGGCTTCGAGCCATTGATGCCCATCAGCTGGATCGCTGACCTTGAGACCGTTCCCGCAGACCTCTTCACCGAGAACATTGACAAGGCATTCATCAAACCAGCCTATGGCACCGAGCACAGTGGTATGTTGCAGCCCCATTTATTGCGAGCATGTTACTGACATTATCCAGCGCAGTATGCTCTTGAGAAGCTCTTCGATCTGGGCAGTGTCTCTCGTGACGCTTGGCACACGCGCACGAAGCGGGCTCCTCATTTCCAGATTGGCAAGGCCGTCAAGGCGTACACGAAGTGGGCTATGAAGGATGGCGGAGTTGAACACCTCTGGTCCCAACTTCCGCTATTCCAGACCGTCACCTTCTCAAAGCATGTGCACCCGGCGGTTGGAGAGCGCAAGATGATCGAAAAGCTCGATCGTCTGCACGAGTTGTGGTATGATGCCCTGCAGATCGACCAGGCCACAGACCGAGGAGATTCCAATGTGCCTGAAGTTCCGACACTGTATGGCATTACCGCAACGCACACCGTTATGGCTTTCGTGAGCTACGCGCCTTCGACTAAGAAGAACGAACAGTCTTCTGTGCGTCTACTCGCCATGTACGACTTTATGCAGGAAGGTTGCGATGTCTGGAATTCCCTTGCCATTTCCATCTTCATCATACATTGCAGGAACAGGATGATGCAGCTGAGGGAATGGCTCCCCGAGCCAGAGATTTCAATTGAAGAAGATCCTGATCTTTGAACGACGAACACGACACAAATTAACGACATGAAAGGAAGGAGATGATGAGTCACGTAATGAAGAGATGGATGTGGATTATGAACATCGGATGCGATTTGAACGCGTGGCGTTTTGCTTCGCGATATACCCCATAATGAGCGCAATACCCAATACCCCATTTTCTTTTTTTTTCTTATGTCAGTTTACTGAGCCACAGGTGTTTGGCTGGGGAGGAATGGTTGAAGGAGGAAGCTTTACCAAATTGCGGCATTCTGCAAACGATTTCGCTGAAACATAAGTGTAGCGATCAGTGTGATAGGACGAAGTACATGAAATTGGTCAGAGCAATGACGTAGCGATCAATATGACTGAAAGATTCATGCAATCTTATTCTCTCGCCTGGCTGTGGTACTGTCTTGTAGGAATTTCGTGAGCATATTCAGGCGTGTCAACTTCGAGTCCAGCATCTCGTAGTCCCACGGACCTCATTTCCAGCCTGTCCACTCAACCTTCCCACGTACTGCCCAGAGATCACCTTATATCTGCCCAGCTTTGAGGTCCCTAGGCGACTGGCCTTTTCGGCTGCCACTCCCAACCTGCTTGCTGCCGAATTCTCCAAACTTCGAGTTTCTTTTCCAAGGTCTCCATGCAATCTCTGCAATGACCTGAACAATCCAAAACGACTTCGACAGCGACTGGACACGGTAGTCGAAACCGGCTTCCGGGGTCTTTGCCACACATCGTGAATGGGTTCGCGTAGTCTTGTTTGATGTGCTCGCACGCAGTGTGCCAGTAGTAGTTGCGTCTGCACATTCTTGTTAGATCTTGGTGTCTGGTGTAGCAGTAGGCTTAGAGTTGAAGAAATATGACAGAGAGGTTCAAGGCAGAGGAGGTTGTTGATGTTGTTGGCGATTGGGAAAGGTTCGTCAACGGTAAACGTTGGAGAGTACATAGTATTCATTCACCGTGTATTGAAACTTATTGTAGTATTGTCGACGACGATGCGAGGTGAAGGTGAGTGTGAATATGCTCTGAGCACTCTAGAGGATGTCATGATGTAGCACGATTCTGACACTTCTAGTATCCCCATAATCTGAAATTGAAGAACACATCATTGAGAGGTATGAAAAGACAGAGATTACCGATCCAGTTGTATATCTTGAGCACACCTACCAGGAACATCTTTTATCAAAGTGTGTTAGCTCACATGGCTTCGAAGGGATACAAAGAGTTATCCAGTAAATGGTACTTGTTTCGTTGCTGTCTGTATAGACGTCAGCCTTCTGACTACGCTCATCGGTGACACTCCTTCTAACGCCTGTTGTATGCATTGTTTCACGCGGTGCAGACTCTCATGTACCAATTTCCATAATTTGACCCTTCATAATCAGCGGTTCAACCAAGCTTCCACGCAATCGCCCTTCACCCGCCGGGACAAGCCTGGACAAGACATCTTATACGATACCAAGAGCCTGGGCAAGCAAGGTCGATATGCATTCTCTACATTCTGAAATCTGGGGTGCAGACGGCTATGTACAGGTACCGCAGACGGGGCTTCGTACTATGGTGGGTAAACTGTGATTCGTGCGTTAAGTTTCCCGGAACATCAAGCAGCTTGCAATTCTCCGGGATACGGCTGAACGGCACCATGTGATCATCTCGCATTTTGCAAGTGCAACCACTGCAGTACAGGTCTAGTGTTCATGTTTGGAAGAAGCATCCGCGGCTGCGATGACGTGGACGTGATGGGTCGGTTAAGGTTGTGACAGTCTTGTCTGCTGGCATGCAAGGTCTCATCTGCGTGGCCTTGGTAGCGCGATAATTCGCTTTGGTATCTTGGAGTTGTTCAGGTCGCCAAATGCTTGTTTTGAAGATCAAAGATCGTTCCAAAACGGCACTCTACCTAGGATCTCGAGGCACGGGACCGGGAGCGTGAGCGCTTGACCGGGCTGAAGGATCGGAACGTAGCCCAATCATGGTAACTTGCCAGCGTGGTTTCGTCTCTGTTCGCTGATCAATCAGCCTAGGATACGGGCGTCATGGTAATGGAAAACAAACACCCGGATATGGGGCTCAAGCAAGCTGCAGGGCCGCAGTTGCTTGGCAGCACGCATGGACGCCTACGAAAACCCCTCAGTCCCCTTTCATCTATCACTGTGACATCGCCAACACCATACAGCCTATACATGAAATGCTATACTGCATACCGAGCTTCTTGGACATTGAAAAATCACACGGAGCGATGTGTAAGAACTATGCCTTTACCGCCACCTCCAAGCGCCACACGTGTCACGCGGCTTCACATAGATTAACAGCTCACGGCTCCACGATTCGGTATTCGAGCCAAGACTCTCTTTAACCGCTGGAAGAATGCAAAGGCGGAGAGCTTGGCGTATGCATGCGAAAGAGATGGGAAACATAGGTGGAGGAGTTCTTGCCAGGACGGCCATAGCGCCGCCATGACCCGAAGCCAGCCCCATAACGGAGATATTGACATCTAAGTTAATGACCGCACGGCCTTGTCCCATGAATCTTTGTTTCAAGCTACCAGCCAATCAAACCTGATTCATGAGCTGGAATTCCAAAATATCCCGAGCTGCTGTTGATGCTATTGGCTTAGCCCACTCCCTTCGCAGGCACATTTCTTCACGAACGCCAAGCGTGGCATATTAGTGTCCCTTCCGCCTCAGTCCTTGATCTACATCCTAGCTGCTAAGAGATGGACGGCCGTTGCAATGGCGAGAATGTTCGTCTTGGCTTTGCCAGCAGGACCGGGCCTACTCCATTCGACCATCACGCCGCGGTGTACAATAGCAACGGCTATAAAGCCATCATGAGTCGTCCTCGTAAATCACCACCACGACTAACCATCTCCCACCGCTTTCAACCTTAGTCTCCTCATATTCAATATGGTGTCCTTTACTTCCCTCATCACTGCTGCTGTTGCTGCGACTGGTGCTTTCGCTGCTCCCGCCACTGATGTAGCTGCTCGTTCCTCCGGCGACCTCGTCGCTCGCCAGAGCACCCCCAACGCCGAAGGAACACACAACGGCTGCTGTAAGTTGAATCACTGATATACGTGTAAGCAGTAGTTGACCAAAGATTCTAGTCTACTCTTGGTGGACTGATGGTGGCTCCAAGGTTACTTACACCAACGGTGCAGGTGGCAGCTACAGCGTCAACTGGGGAAGCGGCGGCAACTTTGTTGGTGGTAAGGGCTGGAACCCTGGATCGGCCCGGTAAGTCAACTCCTTGGAGTAGACAATTGATGAGAAACACTTGCTGATCATATCAGCACCGTTACCTACTCGGGCTCCTACAACCCCAACGGCAACTCCTACCTTGCCATCTATGGCTGGACACGTAACCCTCTCGTCGAATACTATGTCGTTGAGAACTTCGGGTAAGCAATTTCCCTGTACAATTTCCACCTGGGATATATACTGATTTCGTTGACAGAACCTATGACCCGAGTTCCCAGGCTAGCAACAAGGGTACCGTGACTGCCGACGGCTCTTCCTACAAGATCGCTCAGTCGACCCGTACTAACCAGCCATCCATCGATGGAACAAGGACCTTTCAGCAGTACTGGTCTGTTCGCCAGAACAAGCGCTCCAGCGGATCCGTGAACATGAAGACTCACTTCGATGCTTGGGCCAGCAAGGGCATGACTCTTGGTAGCCACTACTACCAGATTGTCGCTACCGAGGGATACTTCTCTACCGGTTCTGCGTCTATCACTGTGAACTGCCCGTAAGCCATAGAATGACTTCACGGCTTGGTACTTCAAGTAGTCGTAGCGGTGCGGACTTGATGAAGGTGTGTGTCGATGTGCGCTTCGCTGGCCTAGCCAGTAACTTCTTTTCTGTAAATATATTGTTATGCTAGCTTGCTAGTGCAAAATGTCAAACTTTTGCCATTCATGATATCGTCTCTACATCAGCCTCAGTCACTGTTGCCATGTCTTCACAATATCGGATCATTAAAACGAGTCGCCTAGGCAGGTCTTCTTCTCTGTTTGCTTTACCCTGACCACGGCACTCTCCCAATGTGCTTCCGCAACTATACTAAATACTCTTGTCCAGACCAACATATTCTCCTCAGCTCTACACATCCCTTTACATTATGCAGACTAGCCCAACATTACCCTATACAGCGCCAGTGCAACAGCATCGTAGATAAACTCCAGCCGAGTGAAGAGTGGTGCATAGATTGCTGGATGCGAGAACACAACAGTACATCCAAACAAGGTGACGGAGGCAAGAAGCTCTGGAATGATCGTTGGCCAGGCGGCGCGAAGTGGTCCGGGTATGCTGGAGACAAAGGAAGAGATATCAAGCGTGACGACGTACCGCAGTAGGTAGCAGTGGTTTGGAAGCATAAATCAAGGACCAAGGTGAGGTATTACTTAGATATACACCTAGGAATTCATGATATTATGATATGTGTGGACAAGAACGTGACAGTTCTATTTCTGACTCAACCCACATTTAGTGCATCAGCTAAGACTGCGACAGTGAGCAGCCATACTAGGAGGTCTCCTTGTAACAATATCTACAACTTTGTCACCGTACCCACGCAGCTCCACAATTCACATTTGAATCTAATTCGCTCCACTTGAGCGATCCAAACATCACAGCGAAGAGTCTGTACTCACCGGTACTGCGTAGTTATAGGCTCTACTTCTTGCACACCTACATTCAGCTCTTGCGCGATAGACATCTCACGTATCCAATCAAGACTTACGGCCAGCACCCTTTAGTCGAGCTTCACCAAGAGATCACAAGCGACGAAGATCGGCGAATGAAGTTTCAATACTTGCTCAGCATCCGCAAGGCAGGTCTCATAATCTATCAGAAAATCCCCTAGATGCCTGAGAGAAAGCTGCTAGCTGGCATTCATACTGCTAATGAAGGAGCCAGTATTCGGTTCTAAGTGTACCCTCCACAGGATAGCATGTTCAATCCAACGAACGTCCAGGATCGACATCAGTGTATAACGGCATTGTACCCGGAGTTGTCCTCAAAGCTTCTTCGATGATCGATAGAGCGAGGTCGAGCTGCTCCTCCGTGACAGTGATGGGAGGCGCAATCCGGAACACCCCACCAAAAGATGGCATTGTCGCTAGTTGGGCCCAAAGACCCATGTCTACCATCTTTTTTGACACTGCAGCTCCGACTTCCGGGGCGCCAACCTTCGTTTTCCTGTCGCTAACCACTTCCATGCCGGCCATGAGGCCTCGGCCACGTACGTCACCGATACAACCGTATCGTGACTGTAATTGTCTTAGTCCAGCTTGAAGCTTGACACCGAGTCTCTTGGAACGAGCACAGAGATCGTCTCTGATGACAACCTCAAGAACCTTATCGCCAACAGCAGCTGGAAGAGGATCGTTGATGTGCGTAGTGTAAAACAGGAAACCGTTGTCTTTGGCATGCTGAGCGATGCGGTTCGATGTCATGATGGCGCTGAGTGGTATTCCATTTCCAAGCGTCTTGCTGAGTGTCAGGATATCCGGTACGGCGCCCTCGTCTTCGGGATGGTGTGTGAACGCGAACATGTCACCAGCTCTTCCGAGTGCAGTCTGTGCCTCATCGACGATGAGAAGCATACCTCGTGCTTCACAGTGCATTTTCAATGCCTTCAAGTACCCAGGTGGAAGCTCTAGCATACCGCCACTTGACAATATGGGTTCAATGATGACTGCTGCAAGCGAGCCGCATGACTGTTTGTCCAGAAGATCAAAGCCATAGTCCAGTTCTGTCTTCCAGTCATGCGTACCATCTGGGTGTCTGAATATCGAACGATAGGAGTTGGGGGTGGGCAGTGCTAGGTTTCCGATCATATTGGGGCCGTAACCAGAACGCCCAGCATGGTATTGAGCACCAAGCGATGCACCCGTCATACCATGCCACGAGGCAGCCAGGCCAACAATCTCCCATTTACCAGTATAGAATTTGGCTAATCGAATAGCGGCCTCGTTGCTGCAGGTGTAGAGGTACGGAGTCAGAGCATGTTTTCTACGTATTTCTCGCAATCACAACTTACCTTTCTCCGCCTGTACTTAGGAAGAATGCTTTGTCAAGTCCAGCAGGCGCGACACCAGTCAGACGCTTTGCAAGGTTTATTACGGGAGGGCTCAGCATCCCACTGAAGAGATGATCGAGATGCTGTGCATGCTCTGCGATCACTTTCACGACCTCAGGGTGGCCATGTCCGATTAGAGTAGACATTTGTCCTGAGGTAAACTATAATTTACGATCAACGTTGACTGACTAGTATGGTCTTGCGCTGCATGCCACTTACATCCATCATTCGGTGACCTGAGGCAGTCACCACGTTGATGCCATTGGTCGAGGTGATGATTTCGGGATGAAATGCGGTTCCATATGTAAGCAAACAATCATCTGCATCGCGCTGGAGCTGGGTAATGCTGGCGTCTGCATATAGAGGAGCCATGGTATCTGTCTGGCTGCAGCTGTGTTGATGATTGAGATAGAGGATGTTTTGGAGTTTTTATGTTCTTCATCGTGCTGGGTCTTTGGGAGTTATATAGGTAACTGGATACCCGTCCTTCTCCACGGAAAGGTGCACATGAAGGCACATTGCTACCTTTTCCGACGGAGACGTTGGGACCATCAAAGGATACGCACGTGATCTCTATCCCGTCGGAAAGAAGGCGACGGGGGTGAGATAGTGATAAGTGATTGATTGGAGCGGTCATGGCGGTGTCGCGGAAGATAACCCCCAGCTAGCTACGGATGGCGGTTGAACCACGATGGTCGCGTCGCGGAAACCGAGAACGCGATCGCGCTCATTCTGAACTTCCTTACATCTTGCTTCTGGACACCGGTGCACTCCATATCGACACAAATCAGTCTTGGGTCAATATCTTGTTTCTGTTTTATCTGAAGGCTCCGGTCGATCAAGATGCGTATTGCCCTGGCGACCTCAGCCAGAACTATAAGTTCCCTCCGTCCAGCCGCCGTCAACAAACCACGACGCTTTCGTGACGTGTGCAGCCTCATCACCAAGTAGAAACGCAATGGACCCAGCAATTTCCCATGTTTCTGGGAGCTCACGCTTGAGGATACATGGAATGTTGTCCTTGTTTAGGAAGAACTGCCCTTGTGACGAATTGAACGGTTCTGTCATCATCGGTGTATTGAAACAGCCGCTGTCAATGGTCAGCTCAGCTTCTCGTCAAGTACTAGCATCACTCACGGGCACAGCGCGTTGACTCTGACTCGTCTCGATGCACCTTCAAAAGCAGCAACTTTTGTCAAGCCGATGAGTGCATGCTTAGCTGCGACGTAGGCCGAAGTACCATATGTCGCGTACTACAGGGGTGAAGATACGAAGTCAGCACATGTCTCATATAGCTCGTACTCGTTCAACTTGCCTGGCTCGCAATACTCCCGACGTTCACGATCGAGCCTCCATCCTTGATAACCTTCATCTCTTCTTTCAAGCAATGAAAGGTGCCCACAACGTTTACATTGACTAGCCTGGCGAAGTACTCTGGGTCAAGATCTGTTATGGGGAAGATTTCGCGTTGCTCCACCGCTGAGGATCCGATCAACGACGTCTTCAGTACTTGCAGAGGTCAATCGAGCTTACCTGCAACATTCGCCGCCCCATCGAGCTTTCCAAACTTTGCGACGGTCTCTTCAATCCAAGAGCGAACACTATCGAGGTTGGCAATGTCCACAATACACGTCCAGTACCGGCCCTTGGCATCCGGAAGTTCACCGTCGATCTCTTTGGCAGCATTGGAGAGGTTGTCAGCTGAAGTTGCACACATAGAGACCTACGTAGGCGTGTGTGTATGAAGTCAGCGAATATCTCATATGCAGTTCCTACAGGGGCGTTACTGACAGTAGCACCACGGATGAGCAAGTACTTGCTAAGGGCTAGACCCAGGCCTCGACTGGCTCCAGTAACCGCGATGACTTTTCCCGCGAAAGGAAGGGGATTGACAGCATATGGAAGGGGGTTTGCCATGTCGCCCATGATGACACACAAGAGAACATGAAAAGTACAACGCAACCCAAGTTCAACAGCAAGCTGCCACACATATACCCTACAGCTACCATTACCTCTTGGGTCATGACTGCAAGCAACGAGTCATCTCAGCACAACCGCGCCGCATATGCACACGTATCATCTTGTGGACAGGGCTGATACTAGGGTCTGTTTCCGTGTGGTATATGACATTGAATCCTTCTGTGGGGTGTTGAGTTGTGCTATAGCCTGTTCCGGAAATCCCTGCTGGACTAGTGCCGTCCATCCGCTCTTTATATGCAGATGTGCAGGCATATGCATTTCCACAGCCACATCATCTAAACCGGCATCTCCTAATACAAACAATCCTGACTTGAATGACTATGACTTGCAGAGTCGCGGAGCTCTTGTCGCTGCGGAGTCGAATTATCTTATTCTAGAACCGAGAACGAATGGAGTATCGGGCACATCGCTGGCTAAGGTCAACAACTCTCAATGCAAGTCAGAATCCTCCCGGTACATCCATGGATTCGGTTTCGCTTTGTAGATACATACCAAAAACAGCCTCGTGGAAAGGGATTCACCTTGATTTGGTGACGCATTGGAACCACTCCAGCGGTATCATGTTAGTATGAGGCACAGCAAACCCTGGAGTGCTGATGGATTGAGTCCAAGTCTATAATACGCTTCTCGTACCTTAGCTTTCTAGCTTCGGACTTGGAGCTACAACTATATTCTAAATCAGCGACAATGAGCACAGCATCAGTTTATGTGGCAGTCCCACCGCCGGGCCATACTAGAAACGCAGTCAATCCACCAAATCTTCACAAAGAACTCGCTGCTGTCGGTATCTCGACAACCGCACTTGCTCTGGTAGCAGTGATCTTGCAGCTCTTTACAAGAGCGCATGTTACCAAGATGGGAATCCACCTCAATGACTGTAAGTCGTTTGGATAGCGTACAGAACGTGAGAGAGTTGTTGTCGCTAATTCAACATGTGTAGATGTGATAGTATTTGCAATGATGTGCAGCCTTGCGCTGCTCGGATGCAATTTTCCACGTGTGTTCCACATCATTCAGTTTATCTTCTAAAGCTGAACGATGTCTAGATATGAAGTCCGGCTTGGGCTACCATATGTGGGAAGTCAAGACAGAAGACTATGAACTTCCCTTTCAGAAAGTAGGTAGAGCACTACAAGATCATCGCTGCACGACTAATGAGACACGCAGTGGACGCTAGTTGGTACTATCCTGTATGCCACCAGCCTTGCCTTCTCAAAGCTCTCCATCCTACTTTTCTACCTACGTTTATCACCACAGAAAGGGTTCCGCACGTTGGTTCATATTCTCATCGCCTGTGTAATAGTGTACGCAACAGTTTACGACCTCGTCAGCACCTTTGGCTGCAGACCGATAGTCGCCACATGGGATCTCACACGTTTGCCCGGGGCTGTGTGTATGAATCAGCTAACAAAGTACATGGCGCTTTCAGTACTGAACATCGTCATCGACGTGATTACCTTGGTACTTCCTATACCCGTTGTCACAAGACTACAGATGTCGCGGAGACGGAAGATCACTGTTTGCGGCATATTCGCGACCGGGGGATTGTAAGCCGTCAAGATTGTCATTGAAAAAATCCACTGACTATTTGCACAAGCGTGTGCCTCGTGGCAATTCGTCGAACAACGCTCTTGAAGCCGCTCATGATGTCACCTGATTATACATGGGATGCTGTTGAGCAATTCCAATGGTGTTTTGCTGAAGTCAATGCCGGAATCGTCTGCGCATGCGCACCCGCCCTCAATCCGTTTTTCGTGCGCTATGTTCCAGGCCTTCTGAGTTCCCATTTCGGTAATAGTAGAAGAGATCGTGATGGATTCAAGAGCGATAAACCAACGCTACCAGCATCAAACGATCGAGAGCAGGCCAACGAAGCATATGGACTCCAATTGCGGGACGACGTATCTGAGAAGACAGCAACAACGAAGCATAGTGAAGTTGGTGACGAGTCGACACTTTGGCAGAATCCTGCGAACAAGGGCACTGAGAAGGAGTTGATTACTACCTATTTTGTTAAACATGCCTGTTGATAGAGTAGTAGCTATGAGGACCTAAAGTCTAGTATGCCAGAAGACAATATTCATAGTTGCGTCTTCTCATTTGGTCTCTTTTGTGGTAGCACAGTGCATCGAGTTTGAGATCGTGTACTCATTGGTTCGTTCGACTATGCCGATGAAAACTTCCGAAGCCGTCGTTTTATGCGTCGTTGTGGCGTGGTCATCGACCATTGACCATAGCTCAAGCTCCGCGCCGCAACGCGAACTTCGATTCTTGAGTATTGTCAATTCGTCTACAGACATAGTGCTACCTGAAGTGATGCAGTTTGCTCTTATGGAAGTTTCTTTGCTGTGCAATGTTGTGGTGTACCTCGGTACTCAAGAGCAAGCAACAAGGACGAGCGACAGGAGTATACGTGTTGTAGGTAATCTCCGCAGCTTCGGGTACGCTAATGCATAGACATCACACCTTACTACTGCCGTGCCGCATGCTTCGGCTTCGTGTCGATATACTCCTTGCAGCCGACTGGGGTCGTGGTCCTATCGTCCATTGTATCATGCACCCCTTCATCGTCTATGGTGAATCCCGCTTCGCTAGATTGACACTATAGGCTTCAAGGTAAATTGAGAGTGAGAGGAAAACATGCTCTAAGACAGGTATGATAGGTGTTTTAGGGAACCGGCAGACAACTTTATGATGTCCTCGGCGTGGTATAATACGCGTAAGAGCGCGGCCAGTTCTGTGATTGTGAGCCCGAGCCGAGAAGCGATGTATTCGCTTTGACGGCCACCCAGTCGTCTGCGTGTTCTGACTCTGGTCGTGAAGAGGCGGACAGCCTGCGGGATATAGATCTTCAGAGCTTCGGTAAGTAAGACAGGCTGTTGGATATCTCTGGTTTTGAGGAGCCTTTCTAGAAGGGCGTGCGAGTTCTCGTCGTCGGAAGCGCTGCTAGCAGCACAAACGTACCTACGGCAAAGCTTGTCGGCTTGCATTTACCTCGACTCACCCAAGATTAGGCGTCGTTTATAGACGTGCAGACATACAAGGTTCGCTGTAGCAACAATACGAGCACCTGAGCCTAGAGCAAGAACTGGACATACAGAACCACAAGATGTTGATTTCCCTTGCTGTGTTGGCAGCTAGATACAAGCTTGCGACGCGTCCTCAGGTGACATCACCTTTTTCGAGACGTGTTTTGCGCTAAGCTTCGAATAGTCAAGCGGCTGCGCCATAATCTGGATCTCACTAAAAACGCTCCCGCCATCTCAGTATTACACGTGCCGAATCTCGCAAGACCCTGGCAAATATGACAGATTCGGAAGAGGTGCTGGATCTCTATGATATCGCTGTCTTGCTAAACTACGAGCGTGTCACTACAGAGCCTCGGTTTCGATACACTAGATTAAGAGAAGTCGCCTTTGCCGGTATGCTGCAAAACAGAAAGGAAAGTTGATCTACAACTAACCAACATGCACAGGCACGGAACCACGGACGGTCGCGCTCAATAATCTGGTGACACAAGGCTTGAACAAGAATGCGTGTACCTGGATTATACTAGATCAACAGCAAGCGAGTACCCCAAATGCTCCAGATCTTCCCACCGATTTCCTACTTCAGGACCAAATCGAGGACAGCACACTCTCGAACGAGCAACTGGAGACTTTGTTTCACCAAGCGCGCAATCACGATGGCTGCTACCAGGCCATCAGCCTTCTCCAAATATTTTTCGCCCTCTTTCAGGACAAGACAAAATTGAGGGTGCGACATTTTCCTTATGGTAAGGGGCCAGGCTCATCCTACATGACAACCATTAGTAGGCGCGTTATTGTTGAAGAGACTTTCCGCAACCCAAAGCTTACGACCGCTATCTACGTACTCCCAGAGGGTACAATGTACACTAGTGGTCACGAGTCAGAACTGAAGCATGCGGTCGTAGGATTTTCCCCGCACGACAGCGAAACCGTTCAGTCATTTCTCGACCTTTCTTCCATGCAATTTGGCGATGTAGGTCGCGGTCCTGGACCAAAAGGCAAGCAATTATTTGCTCTGGATACCCCCGAAGAGTTTGCGGTGCGTTTCAGTAAACTAGCAAAGGGTGCGGATTCCAGTAAGAGCCAACGCACTTTGGCGATCAGTGGTACACCTGTAGATGACTGGCTCGAACAAGTGGCATTGAGGACGAAGGAGAGGTGGGACAACCGTGCGAAGGAGAAGTGGTGCGGTCATTGCGGAGCTCCAAGCGCAAAGTCCAAGTGTGCTGGATGTGGTAATGCGTACTACTGCGGAAAAGAACATCAGAAGATGGCTTGGGGCTTCCACAAGGGTTATTGTTCAAAGTCATGATGGATTTGTAACAACGCATACTCAACAGCACGCCTAGATGTCTTAAGCGGCTCCATCATCCAAGAATACATCTTCGTTGATGTAAACATCCTGTTGCAACGTCGGTCTCGACTCCTTTTGAATTGAACAACAGGGGGTATAATTCATATAGACTGAAACGTAATCGCACTTGATATGCACATCGATCTGTCACCCATCATGCGACACATAGTATGGTACTGGTCAAGAGGGAATAGAGGCATCGACAACCACTAAGACCAGCGCCACATTACTCACGATCCACAACCGCATCCTCGTTCTTACGTCCTCCCAGCCGGTAGCTCATTAACGTTCGCCGGAACTGCCGGCGACATGGAAGGCGTGTATTGTGGCACAGGGCTCACTGGTCCACTGTTGTCCGCATAGTATGGATTTGCCTGTACCGGGTTCGTCACAGCGGGTGTCTTCTCTGGCATCGCATAGCTACCCTGCTGCGCAGCATACGCAGACTGAGCGTTGGGATCATAGAACTGCGGCGCCTGTTGCGCGTTGGGATCATAATGACCGTAGTGTGGTTGTTGTTGAGGAGGTGGAGAAGGCATCTGTTGGACCTGTTGCTGAGGAACTGGCTTCTGCTCATGGTAGTACTGAACGCCTGCCGGTGGTGCCTGGGGTGCGGTAGGTGGCTGTGGCACGTTGTTATTAGTAGTGGTGTTGTTCTGCTGCTTCCGCTTGCGACGAAGTAAGAAGAAGACACCTAGAACGACGGCGGCTAGAAGAGCGACGCCACCGACCACTCCACCAGCGATGGCACCGACTGGGGTTGATTTCTTAGACTTTTTAACCTCTGCCGAGGGTGGCAGAGCGGCTGGTATATCCGAGGATTCTGGAGTATCGGAACCGGACACAGGCGTGAAGGATGAGAACAGTGGGGTATTCGAAGCTGAGCCCGTATTCGGGGAGGTCGAAGAGTCTTTGAAATGCACCGTCAGCATACGCGTTGTTGGAAGTGGGGAAAAGAGTGCATACCATCATCAGGTGTGACCATCAAGATCAGTCCACCAGTCTCCGTCTTGGCATCACACCAGTAGTTGGTCAGTGGTGCAGGGTCATTGATATCTGTTGCCTATTTGCAAGTTTCCGAAGTCAGTATACGTCTCATGTTGAGTTCGTGCGGGAACCAATATCTTACGAGTTCCCAGTAGCTACATGTACTGCTTGAGCCTCCACTGTGATAGTATGTCAATCATCGGTACAGAGGAGTTGAAGATGTAGCATCGTACCAGAAGATACTCGTGGTGGGAAACACTGCATAATCATTTTCGCAAGAAAAGAACTCGCAAAGTGACTCCGGGGCGCAGATCTTGTAAAGACTACCTGATGTTGCAATGACATGACCCTCATTGTTCGCTGTGATGGTTTCATCTGAACAGTCTTAGTATTCACGAAGGCCCGATTTGGGTGACTCTTCTTACACAGTGTAGTACTGCCATACATGCCCGTGGATATATAACCAATGGTAGTGATGTCCCTGACGGCAAGCGGAGCAGCTGTAGCAGCAGGCGCAGGCGTGACAGCAGGTGTCGGCGCCCGTATCATAGCAGCGTCCACATACTTCGAAGACAAGAGGATGGCGAGCAACGGACTAAGCTTGGTATATGCCATGACGCCCAAGATTCAAAGATTTGCAATATTGAGAATGAGGATAGCCCCATTGCGAAAGAGCAGACTTTCTAAGCTAAGTACCCATGTTGGGTTGCGAGCAATGCGAAAGACGATGTGCCGTAAGGCGTGCAGTGACCCGCTGGGGCTTGCATGTCGCGGTTGTGATACGAGAAAAGGGTATTGGCGGGCTGATCAGCTGAGGCTTGTGTAAATTGAGGCTCAGTGGAAGAGTGCAAACGAAGTCGCTTCAAGAAGCGACTAGATCGTCAGCATAGCTAGATATGACAAAGTTTGTTTCCTGTCATTGTTCCCATTCTCTCAGTACTGGAAGCCCAGAAGTTCCTCATTTACACATACCATTCATCTGAACGCTAGATGTAATGGTGACCGCTGCAGGGACAACGGGTGTACAACGAGCATGGGGTAGCGAGGCGGGTGGTTGTTTCTTCCTCAGCTCGCTTGTGCAGCCTTTTGATAGGTCACGACATAAGCCACACGGAGCCAATACAGCCGTGCGCTTCCCCATCTAGGTGACCACCAGGCACGTCGGATGTTTTGGTCGCGAGATAGCCTCACCGGTAAGGCGTGTGTTGGCGGCGCGGCAGATTCGCATGTAGATCTCTACCAAGGGTTTTGACATGCCGAGGGTAGAACACAAAGACGAGGCACTAAAAATTGGTAAGACTGGTAAGACTTCCTAGTCTTTGAACCGACAGTTTTACAATATGACTTGTCCCCCGATTGTAACGTCAAAAACCTGTCTGTTGTGGTTGCGATCCGCAAGGCTGAGTTGTATACACCACTTCGAGGACAAGTGCTAGGGTCGGTCCGAAGGTCCTACAATTTAACTGCATTCAGCATGTGGCCCCCAAACTTTTCATGAGTCAGTGCCTTGGCAAGCAGGTTTCTAGTCAAAGTCCTCAGTGTGTTGTTCAAGAATGAGCGGGGACGGAGGAAGAGCATCTTGCACGTGGGCTTGGAGCCTTCATTACGCTGTCGTTATCTTTTCAGACCGGTCTATCTCTTCTCGACGCCGGGACATCTAATGTCCATGACCGTCGTCACCACCTCCGCCTTGCTCCTCTGGATCCAGCTTGATCAGGGTATCGATACGCATGATGGCGACACACGCCTCCACTGCCGACTTCAACTGCTTGACCTTGCTCATACTGGGTTCCAGCACACCGGCTTTTAGGCAATCGTGTACCTTACCATTCATGAGATCCAGACCGTAGTTCTTGTAGTTCTTAGACTTGGCTAGCTGCTTCGCGTCTTGCGACGAAGGGTCTGAGGGGTTCACTGTTCGCTGTGAAAGAGCGTGCCGTGATCGGAGGTTAGCGACAAGCTCAGTAGCATCCTTGGCGGCATTGATAGCGAGTGTCTTGGGGATGGCAAGGAGAGACTGGGCAAAGGCAGCTATCGCTAGCTGTTCCCGAGAGCCCTGAACCAATTGTTAGTGATACTGTGAGACATGTAGGGATTGAAATGGCTTACCACTGACGTTGCCCACTCCTCCAGGTAGATGTGCAACGCAGTCTCAACAGCACCTCCACCAGGGACAATACGTCCACTTTCCAGGGTTCGCTTTACTGCTGATAATGAATCGTGTACTGATCGCTCCATCTCGTCCAAGGCGTAGTCGTTAGCACCTCTCAGGATGATGGATGCAGAAGAGAAGGCCTTGGTGCCCTTGACCAGAATGCACTCATCGTCGGAGATGCGCTCTTGAGAGACCTCCTCAGCATGACCAAGATTTGCCGCTTCGAACTTCTCGTCACCGTTCAGATCGGAAAGCGTGCTGACTAGCGTCGCTCCGGTGGCCTTTGCTATCCTTCGTAGGTCCTCCTTCTTGCACCTTCGCACAGCCATGGCACCCTTCTCGACGAAGTGCTTCAAGCAGAGGTCGTCGATACCCTTTGTGGTCATGATGACGTTGGCGCCGGCCTTCAGGATCATCTCAATGCGCTCAGTGACAATGCCAGCCTCGCGCTCTCGGATCTTCTCCAACTGCTCTGGGTCGTCGATGGTGATGTGAACACCCAGCTTCATTCGCTCCTTCTGCAGGTTGATGTCCAAACAAGCAATCTTGGCGTCGGTGATGCGTGTCTTCATGGCTTGCGAGGCGACTGTGCAGTTGAGGGCGTAGCCCTTGACCAGTACCGACTGCGTGGCGCTCTGACCGTGTGCCTTGAGGATGTTGACAGCCTTTACAGGGTATTTGACCTCGGCCTTGTTGTTTGTCATCTTGACGGCAGTCATGGCGTCTACGACCATGTTGGCGAAGAAGTCGGAGTCGGAACCGATGATCTTGCTGGACATGGACGTCTTCGCGATGTTGACGAGCGAGTCGCGGCCGAGCGCATCGACCTTGGTGCTGATGTTCTCGTTCATGTACTTGACCGCCTCCCTCAAGGCCAGCCTGTAGCCTGTGATGATGGTGGTGGGGTGGATCTTGTTCTTCATGAGCTCGTTTGCTCTCCGCAACAGCTCGGCGGCTATTATGACGACCGAGGTTGTGCCATCTCCGACTTCCTTGTCCTGTTGTTGTGCGAGGTCGACGAGGATTTTGCCTGCGGGGTGCTCGACATCAAGCAGACTGAGGATGGTGGCGCCGTCGTTGGTCACGGTCACGTCGCCGATGTCGTCGACCATCATCTTGTCGAGGCCCGAGGGCCCAAAGGACGACTTGACTACATTCGAGATTGCCTGGGTCGCAAGCACGTTCTGGTCGCGAATGTCCTGTCCGCTGATTTTCTGGCCGCCGAGGACTGCACGAGTTAGCTTTCTGCGGCCCTGATTTTGGCGGTTCCAGCTTACACAGGGTTCCTCCGCTGCGGGACTGCTCGAAGATGCCTGCCATTGTGTTGGGTTCTAGCTGTTCTGCTCTGTTGTTGCTGCCTCTACGCGGTCCAGAAAATCTCCAGCAATGCCCGCCCGCGCGGCGAATCGTAGCTCCGTCGGTCAATCGCGCTAGCTTGGACCCCTGCGCCGATGACTCGGCCCCCTCCACCACTTTTGGCCGTCGACTCACACGAGCCTGCAACAAGCCGACTCTGTCTTAGCTCTGAGTGACTCCGCTGTATTTGCATCCTCTATATCTCTAGTCCCAGACTTCCCCCTCAGCTTTCCCCGACTCAATTGCGCGTAAGTAACTCCAAGTCGCGTGTTGATACCCCGCCTGCCCCGCCAACTTGCCCTATACACAAAGCCACCCAGCACAATATCTACACCTGTTGCCGTTCCCATATCGTTTCCACATTGACAACCAACACGACTGTATCTCCAACGGTGTTAACATCGCTTTCCTAGAATAATTCAACATGGCCGAAGCCACTGCTGCCGACGGGCAGATGAAGGATCTTTCCATCTCCGAGACCAAGAAGAGCAAGAAGGACGGCAACCCTCAGAAAGCTGCGAAGAAGCCTCAGCAACAGAAGAAGAAGGTCGGTCAGAACTTCAAATGTCTTCTTCGGACCCGAGGCAATACTAACTATGCGCCAGATTGAGGGCTCAGCACTCATTGGTATCGATGTTGCCAAGGAGACTGACCTGGGAGACTGGTACCAGCAGGTCATTACCAAGGGCCAGATGATCTCATACTACGACGTCGCCGGATGCTACATCCTCGAGCCCTCCTCGTACGCCATCTGGGAGAACATCAAGTCCTGGTTCGACGGCCAGATCAAGACCCTCAAAGTCCGAAACGCCTACTTCCCCATCTTCATCAGCGCCGACAACTTGGAGCGAGAGAAGGAGCACGTTGAAGGTTTTGCCGCCGAGGTTGCGTGGGTGACCAAGGGTGGAAAGTCTGACCTGGAGAAGCCCGTCGCTGTGCGCCCTACCTCAGAGACTGCCATGTACCCATACTTCGCGCGCAAGATTCAGTCGCATCGCGATCTGCCCCTGAAGCTGAACCAATGGAACAACGTTGTTCGATGGGAGTTTAAGCGTGAGTATCCAACCGACCTTTGCCTTGACTGCATCTAACCGATCTTCAGACCCCATGCCCTTCATCCGATCGCGTGAGTTCCTATGGCAAGAAGGCCACACCGCACATCTTACCCAGAAGGAGGCGAGCGATGAGGTACTACAAATCCTGGATTGGTACTCTGATGTTTACCAGGACCTACTGGCCGTTCCCGTCGTGAAGGGAACGAAGACAGTAAACGAGAAGTTCCCTGGAGCCGACTACACCACAACCATTGAGGGTTTCATTCCCGCTACTGGACGTGGTATTCAAGCCGCAACATCACACGCCCTCGGCCAGCATTTCTCAAAGATGTTTAACATTACAGTCGAGGACCCCACTGCGAAGGAAGCCGGCAAGTCGGAACACGTCCATGTGTGGCAGAACTCATGGGGTCTGACTACTCGCTCGATCGGTGTCATGATTCTGACTCACGGAGACAACCGTGGTCTAGTCATTCCTCCTAGGGTGGCTGAGATCCAAGTTGTTGTCATCCCCGTGGGAGTCACCGCCAAGTACGTTTGTCGTGGATTACTCATGAATGCCATTATGCTAACCAAGTCAGGATGTCTGCGGAGGCTAAGGAAGATCTCTACAGCAAGGTCAAGAAGATATCTGACGACCTTACCGAGGCTGGTGTTCGCGTCGAGACCGACTACCGCGAGGGCTACTCTCCTGGCTGGAAGTTCAACGACTGGGAGTTGAAGGGTATTCCTCTACGTATCGAGTTCGGTCCCAAGGATGCCGAGAAGGGTGTTGTTACCACATCTCGCCGTGACATTGATGACAAGGACGCTGCACGTGGCACCATCGACGTCGGCAGCCTTGCGCAAGAGGTTCCCAAGCTACTCGAGCAGATCCAGAAAGACATGTTCGAAAAGGCTGACAAGGCTTACCGGGACCACCGTATCCAACTTACCAACTGGGATGACTTCGTCCCCACCCTGAACGGCAAGAACGTCGTTCTTGTTCCCCACTGCGAGGGCGACAAGTGTGAAGACGAGGTCAAGGCGAAGAGTGCGCGTACAGCACTCGGAGATGGCGTTGCCGAAGACAAGCAGGCTCCTGCCATGGGTGCAAAGAGTTTGTGCATTCCCTTCGACCAGCCCGAGGGTATCGAGCCCGGCAAGACCAAGTGCATCAACCCTGATTGCCAGACTCCTGCCAAGCAATGGATCTTGTTCGGACGAAGCTACTAGTGCTTCAGCATTTCACCAGGTTTACGTTTTTGTTTGAGCATTTGGTGGCATGGAGTTTGATGGCGCGGTGTTCACGGCATGGGGAAGGGGTTGTCGTTACACTGGCCATTCACGATTTTGCAATGTTGATACAACCTTTAGCATAGAACTAAAAGTTCTGATCTGCCGAGCCAATATTTTCTTCCTGCGCGTGCTATATGGGCGTTTGATAGGCAGACATGTTGGTTGGCAAACGGGTAAAGGTAAAGTGAATCAGCCAAGCCAGCGCTCCTACGCCGCTTGTGAATGACAGAGTCACTTGCTCGTTCTTGGAAACATTATGTTGCGTCACTTTCATTTATTCTACTACAACTGACCTCTACACTGCTACTTTTGCACTCACTTACTGCCAGATTCCAACTGTCGATCACAGATCTTAAGCCTCCTTACAGGAACTCGTCCTTTACCCAAAATGTGTCACAAACTTCTCCAAGCCTATGCTTGTGGCCACAAGAGAATCGTGTGCACCACACCATGCCCTCATGCCATCGCTACAGGATGTCAAATTCCCAACGACCTCTGTAAAACCGTACCCGATTTGTCGCGCTCGAGCTCCGCTGTATCGTCCATGACACCCTCAGCGGATGCTTCCCCGCTGAGAGCTACAGTGTTGAGCAGCGAAGTACAAGGACTGCAACAGAGTGGTCACACGCCAGCGTTCCGTTCCATAGCGCCCACTACAGGACAAGAAGCCACGAGTGCAGGTCCTCCGGCGTCCACATCTCCAACATCTCCATCTTCCAATCAACTGTCGCCCGCTTTTTCCAATGCCGATACTCTCATTAAGCCCGTCTCATCCTCACTGTCGACCTTCCTCCCTCCCGCAGACCCAGAACCTGATACTAGGTGAGTACAATTCCATCGCTGTTACCACTGCTCTATTTTCCTAGGTTCAGTTGCTAACATTTCCATAGCGCAATCGAGCCAAACCTTTGCGCAGACCACTTTCTCCGGCCTGTCCTTCACTCGAGAGCACCTTGTGTGCGATGCTACTCACAACCACAGTGGCAGAAACAACGGGAGTATTGGATGAATGCATACCGGGAACAGCATCCAGGAGTCACACAGGATATCGAGAACTTGAGCGGAATTACTGCAGTAAGAGAACGATATAGTGCCTGATTGGCCTCCTAATCAGACACAAGAAGAATGAAAACAGAAGACAGGGACACGAGATTCTCGTAAAGTCCTAGTAGCGATTTGCTAGACGGCAGACCCTGATATAGATTCCCATAAAAGGATAGGAAGCGACCCTCTAGAGAAGAATAAGACAATTCCGATAACCGGCAGAAGTGATTCGATTACCCTACCTCTGCCATGCATAACTCGTATCTTGATCGTCATCTATGTATGCATAAATCGTGTGTCGGTCGTCATTCAATGCCGAAGTGTATCCAAGCCTGGATAGTCACCGGGTCATCTAGCTCGTGTCCATTTCATCACCGCCCTTCTTCTCTTTCTCCACTGTCTTCTTGACGCCTTCCAAGAATGCCTTGACCGCATCTGGACCACCGAGTGGCATTCCACCACCTCTCATATAGCCTCCGTTCTCAACGTCGATCTTCAGTGCCTGGCTCACAGTTGGCAGGGCACCGGTCTTTAGCGCCTCTGTCAAACTACCCAAAGCCGCCCTCAACTGCGGTGCCCGTAGAACCCTCTGTAGGACCTCAATCTTCTCATCTCGGCTTAGTGTCTGGATAGCCATTTGTGCTGTCTCGGAATTTGGATCGATTTCGTCGATATCTTCGACTTCGGCCTCTAGGAGGAAAGGAGTGGTCGGTAGCTGTGCACACAGGGCGTCGATGAGTTCGTCAGACGCATTTTGAACGGTCGGGAGGGTGTGTGAAGGCCAGAGGAGGTCGAGGAGTGTAGTGAAAGGTTCTGATCCTCGTTGTTGTTGGGTGCTGCTGCCTGCGTTGCCGCCCTTGAGAGAGTTCATGAAGTCTTGGACAATGGCGGAGACGTCACCCGAGCCGGCTCTGTCGACGCGTTAGCGCTGTGTTCTAGAAGCAAAAACAAAGTATAAACGCCAAACGAGCGCCGCGGCGTGGCCAGTGGAAGACGGAGCATGATGCTTATTTTCTATTGTTGTACATGAGCAGCCAGTGCCAATCGCCATATGCTTGGATGGTCTTAAGCTTCTCCCAAAACGCCGTATCGTAACAGGATATCTTTAGAGTTTTGTATAGAGCGGTTAAAGTCTTGCACAGCAGCTCGATTCTTTCCGGAAAGGTAGACCGCGCCGCGACGCCGAATGCGATACAAATAGACGGAACCTACGCTCGACCACCATCGGCGCCTCCTTCTCGGGACTCTTCGCCTTCATCTCGGATATCACCTCCCGTGGCACCAGCTCCTGCGCCTCCGGTGCTACCGTGGCGGTTTCGGCTAGACGGCTCTACATCTTCCATTGTCTCGTCCTCGTCGTTGCCAGATGAGTTTGAGATGCCTGCGAGTTCAGCGTGCACATCAATCTCCTCGCCTGTCAGCAGAAGATCAATCACTTGTCCGATCTTGAGATCACGCTCGCTGAACCAGCTCGCGCCCCGTGGGTGCTGCGATTTTGATTGTAACCAGAAGAGATAGCGTTGTGAGCTCGAGCTAAACTTGAGGACGAAGATGCGGCCGTCGGTGGGTGACTTGATGTTCTCCGAGTCATCGACGGCGTCTTTGCCGGTGTAGGGTTGGAAGGAGCCGTCACCGGGAATCATGATGAGGTCGAGCTCGGACTGATCGAGTGAGCGATCGCGTGGCCGCCAGCAGAAGTGCACAAATTCTGGACATGTGAGCTGATGAACGTGGTGTTGTGATTGCGTACAAACCATCTTCGCCTTGGTACAGATAGACATAGCCAGGTGTCTGGACTGGCTTGACTGTCTGTGAGTTGCCTTCGCCGCGCTGCACGTATTGTTAGTGTACGCCCCGGTACTAGAGAAGCGGTGTCGCTCACCGTCAGCTCGCACTGGCCGGCCTTGAAGGTGATGAGCGGTTGAACAGACATGTTTGCAGCGTGTGTTTGGGGTTGGGGCAATGATGTTCAGCCGCCGTCCCGCAAGCATGGCCGCAAGCTGCAAGCTCCATGCGGGTTACGTAACCGACGGAACAACTGGCGGCCCGGTCGCGCGTATCGATTGGACAGCTTGGCACACATTCGAATTCACGAAAATACGATCCCATCGCCAACACCACCGACCAGCACTAACGACCACAGCGAAACGAAATGGCGGCCAAACAAGAGGACACGAAGCCCACCACCCAGAAGTTCTCCAAGGGGGAGAGGTCGATACCGCACCACTCGCAGAAGGCCAGCAAGTACTACCCTGCTGAGGACGTTGCTGTCCCCAAGAAGGTACGTTCGCGATAGAAGACGGTTTGCATGCAAGAGAAGGACTGCAGGGGTGTTGGGTGCATTTACTGCGACAGCATGCCGCGGGTGTGTCTGGGTGTGCAAGGATGAGAATCAGGACGTCAATTGGGAGCTCCGCTAACTGCGACTCAAGGCCCGCAAGTCTGTCCGCCCTGCGAAGGTTCGCGAGTCCCTCCAGCCCGGTACCGTCGTCATCCTCCTTGCTGGTCGCTTCCGCGGCAAGCGCGTCGTTGTCCTCAAGCACCTCTCCCAGGGTGTCCTCCTTGTTACCGGTCCCTTCAAAGTCAACGGTGTTCCCCTTCGACGAGTAAACGCCCGATATGTCATTGCCACCTCCACCAAGGTCGACCTGAAGGGCGTAGACGAGAAGGTTATCGAGAAGGCTAGCCAGGACGGTTACTTCACCAAGGACAAGGCCGCCCACAAGCCTGGTGAGGATGCGTTCTTCAAGCAGGGCGAGAAGCCCGAGGTACGTATTCACGATCGAGGAGGAACGCGACAGTACTGACACATGTGACAGAAGAAGGAGACCTCCAAGGACCGCGTCGAGGACCAGAAGGCCGTCGACAAGGCTCTTCTGGCCACCATCAAGAAGGAGGCTCACCTCGCCGACTACCTCGGTGCCAGCTTCAGCCTCCGTAGCTCAGACAGGCCTCACCAGATGGTCTTCTAAGCGACGGATAACGATCGGGCATTCGGCGTTCAGTGCATGGGATGAAAGATGACTTCGGCATACTGCAGCCGTACTAGCGAGGAACAAGAACCGCAGCGGCACGGCAGCCAATTTTTTTTCATGGAGGATACCGACAAGGCATTTACCATAAGACTTTATAACAAGCAAGCGAATCCGAGACGGTCCAAAAGTGAACATTTGGTCTCCGCTTGCGTGATGTCATAGTTGGGCGTTCAATTGGCGCGGTATATACTGGGCGGTAATCGAGAGTACTGATGCATGAAATAGAGATACAGACGTTACATTGTTCGACCGATACTGCGCCGACTGCCACGCAAACTCCAAGCGACATGACGTGAGGGTATCGAAGCGACAGCTGACCAAGGGTATTCCTCACCACCAAACTAAATGCGCCAATTCGATTCGGGAACATGCCTCGTTACACAACTTATTGCCCACCGATTGACCTACTTACTTCTTTCCTCTCCCTTTTCTAGCCCTGCCAAACTTGCCCGCTAGCCCGTTCGCTGCGTCCCCCGCGCCGTCTATAGCCTTCCCCGCCTTGCCCTCCACGTTATGCTTCTCCATCTCTGCCTTGAGGTCCTCAACAACATCCTTGCCCAGTGTCGTGCCGTGGCACCAGTCCAAGACACCCAGACATCCATAATTACCCTCTCCCTCACTCATCATGTGCGCATCGGCACGTCGCGCCATACCTCGCAACATGATGGTCGAAGGTAGAACATTATATCCCGAGTACACAAATGTCTCCTCTAAGCTGAAAACAGCGACCAGAATCAAATAGGTAAGGATATGCATGCGTAAAGCAATTGCCGGAAGGTAAAGGGGTAGGAAGCGGTGCAAGAGGTGGCAGATGGGGTGGTCGTAGTTTGCAGCAAAGGAGTATGGAATCTTGATGCTATGGTGCCAGCTCTGATGCAAGTTCGAGAGTGCACCGCCAGTCGGCGAGTGAAGCACGTGTGTGTGGACATAGTATTGCAGGATCTAGGTCGTGTTTGTTAGCACAGTGTACTTGATGAGCGCGATCATGGTATCTTACGTTGCGTGATAAAAGCCCGATAATGCCATGCTTGACCATCGTCCACGGGTTGGGCAGGTGATTCAACCCCCACTTGCTACCTTTGATAAGCAGGAGACTCCTCATTCGTAGTACATCGGTAATCAAGAACTCCATGGCCGCCTGTAGTGCAACAGCAAGCAGCACGTTCGCACAGCTCCATGCTATAACCCTCCTCATCGCTCTTGCGCCTCCCTTCTGGTTGCTTGGAATGCCCCATTGTCCTTGCGACTTGAACTCAACTGCTAGACTGGGCACTCCGATATCGAATAGCAAGAAGATCAGGCTAGGGATGATGTAGAGAGATAGCCGTAGAACTAGTGGTGCAACCAGCTCAAGTTGAAGAGGAGAATATGACGCCGCGATTGTCGTCCATGCGACTGAAAGGAAGATGAGGTTCAGGCCTGTCGACCACGAAGACAGCATAGGAATGGCTAAAAATGAGCCCAGCGGCAGAGCGATAGGCGCAAGAATGGAGGAGAACAGTGCGCCCATGCTGAAGGCGTTCCCTAAGTGGAGATAATTGATGCTCTTAGGTCTTGGGAGTAGTAAAGTATGTCTATTCGCGTCATGTGAGTGGAGGTGGACATTCTGCCTACGTATTTGTGGTTTGCACTTGATTGCGATGTGAGCGATGACGTAGGGGCAGTTACGAACTTGGTTCATGCCGGCGTGGGAACGCGTGCGCGACCGTTTGGGCGAAATAAGCGAGGGCGCCCTTGGTCTCTCACGACTCCAGATCACTGAACCTTTCGCACACTCCTCGTCGGAGAACACTCGTACTACCTTGCACGTGGAAGTGATGTCTTCTCAAAGGCAAAGTTGATCGGCACGTTCTACGTCCTTAGGTCCAATCCAGGTCACTGGTGCCGCGCAGTTTCCCAAGCATGTTGCGACTCCATCCGCTCAGACGCTGCTAGGTTTGCTAAGGTCGCCTGGTCTGCAGTGTATTCCTAAAGGTCTGAACTCCCCGCCTTCAACTTGCTGTTACGAGTCTGTGTCCATTCATCTTTGAGTCTGACTCGCACATCTAACTTTGTAAAGCCGGTATCAGATGTTATGGCGAGTCTGCGCATAGTAGTTTAGTTATACCTTAGACTCTTGTTCTCTCGTTTAGTGACTCCGTATGAGGCCTCGGAAGTAGCATGCCTAGTTTGCAGTATCTCTTATTTTTCTTTGAGAAAATCATACTTGCTTCGTAGAGTCTCTAGAGCTTCTATCTGAACTGTCTGCTTGTTGAGGAGAGCTACCAGGTCTGCTCTGAACGATAGCAACCCGCTCCGAAGAATCTGCGGATTCTTCATGCCAAACTGCTCCTGGTGGTATCTCTTTGGCCAGTCTTCTTCCCATTCCTTGTACTTGTCCTCCTATATCCTACGTGGAGACGGTGGTGAAAATCAGAAGTGAAAGGGCGGGCTTCTCGAGAACCCTGCGGACGATCAATGTGGAAAAACGACTCGACATACGGAAAGAAAATATAGATCTCGAAGCCGATATAACGGTACGCTGACCATAGGGTAAGGGCAGGGAGCAATTTATAATTGTAGAATCGTGATAACGAACGCCGACTATGTTAGTGATCAATAGAGCTATACAAGAAGATAGGCCAAAGACGTGCGGCTTACATCCTTGCGAGCTTGATGTTAAACTGATCAAAAAGGCTTCCAGAACCATCTACAAAGCCTCCTATCGGTTTCGTATCTGCCGCTTACCATTCATTCCGATAAACGGCGGGCAATACCCACATGGTTTACCTGCAGCGCTCGGGTAACACGCCCTACCAACACAGCATAATGATGGCGCGCCCTAGAAAGTACATCTTGGCGACGGTCAGTGCAGCAACAACTGAAATCATGCCATAGGAGAGTAATTGTGACTGCCGTATTTGATAGAAAGAAGTCGCGAATGGAGACGATAATGACGTGTGCGGGGAGCGGGGCGGTCATTCGCTGATCACTCGGAAATAATGCCGTGCCCGCGGGTATTTATCATCAACGAGCATGCCCTCTCCAGATAGCCTACTTGAGTTGAGCAGACCCTTTGCTTGTCTCTCGTGATCCATGACTTTGGCTTTTCGTTCCGCGCAACTTCTTTCAAGATCGACACCTGCAGCAACACGACTCTCAGCCATCAATCCGCATATCGCTCCAAGAGCACACAACATCAGAGCCATGTCGTCTCTCCCAAAGACTATGAAAGCCGTCCTCATCGAGAAGACTGGTGGCACGGAAGTTCTGCAGTATAAAACTGACGTACCGGTTCCTGAGCCGAAGGAGGGCGAGGTGCTTGTGAAGAACGAGTTCATTGGCATCAACTACATCGACACGTGAGTACTACGTGACCATGAAACTGAGGAGAAACTGCTGACGGAAATTGACAGCTACTTCCGCTCGGGCGTTTACAAGCCTCCGCAATTCCCCTACATTCTTGGCCGAGAAGGCGCTGGAACAATTGCTTCCGTTGGACCCAATGTGCCCTCTGATCTCAAGCCTGGAGCGAAGGTAGCCTACATGGGACAATTAGCGTATGCTGAGTATACCGCTGCACCAGCGAACTACACTATACCGCTGCCTGATTCCATCTCCACAAAGACTGCTGCTGCTTCGCTTCTCCAGGCGCTAACCGCTGTAACCTTGATCCGCGACGCGTACGAAGTCAAGAAAGGCGACTGGATCCTTGTCACCGCTGCCGCTGGTGGCGTTGGCTTATGGCTGTGTCAGCTGTTGAAGGCGGTCGGCGCAAGGGTCATTGCTACGGCCAGCACAGAAGAGAAGAGGAATCTGGCCAAGCAAAATGGCGCAGAGGTGCTACTAGAATACCATGAGGAAGATCGAGACGTCTTTGTCAAGAAGGTGCTAGAAGTTACTGGAGGCGAGGGCGTGCATGCAGTCTTCGACTCGGTCGGGAAGTCCACTTTCGATAGCTCACTGGCTGTGGTGAGGAGAAAGGGTACTATGTGTTCGTTTGGAAACGCATCGGGACCAGTCGAGGGTTTTGCGCTTGCGTAAGTTCTTCCACCACTTTTTTCATCTGGGAAACGACTTACACATCATACAGACGCTTATCGGCAAAGAATGTCAAGCTTCTTCGGCCTACGTTGTTCAACTACATTGCCACTCGCGAAGAGCTTCAGGCAGCCGCAAATGAGCTGTGGAAGTTCATCGAGAAAGACGGGCTGAATGTAAAGATTCATGATGTGTACCCCTTGAGCGAGATTGTGAGAGCAACGAAGGACATCGAGGGAAGGAAGACAACTGGAAAACTGGTGTTGACACCGTAAGTAGGGAAGAGTTGTAAATGAATCTCATCAGACGTATGAAGGAAGACACTATCTCAGCGCCTACAGAGACCTAGGTCCCTCTTCTCCTTGTTTGAACCGGAAGCTGAAGTTTTCTGGTCAAACACAACTGACGCCATCGCTGTGCAATCTACTGAAACTGATGCTGAACTCTGTAAGATGCAGTCCAACAAATCCCATCAAGTCTTTTCCGAAGATGAGAAAGCTTCAACTCATGATACCGACCATCTTCTCAAGCTCTACCCGCTGTGACTGAGCCATTCCAGAGTTCCTGCTCATAAGCACATTAGCGATTTCCCTAGCGTAACAAGTACATTGGGCGCAATCGTTGACACAGTCCATCTTAACGGGAGTGAGGAGCTCAGACGAAGTAATCGCTGGGGTCAATGGAGTCAGCTGGCTCCGCTAATGGGTTTTCAGCACGTTGGTAAAGACGCTGAGGTGCCAAGGAGTAGGGTAACTTACGTTCATGAATGGAGTAAGTATCGTGGTCGACTTCTTCAGCCTCGTCCTGAGGGGTGGAACTTTCCTGAGCGTCGGAGAAAGAGGTAACATTGGCCTTGCTAGTCTCCTCTTCCTTGATGATGCTCTTGGGCTTAGGCTTAGGGATGACGATGCTGTTAGTCTTTCCGACCTTGGCGCGTTTGGGCTTGGACTCTAGGAGTTCTTCTTGATCGTCCTCATTCTCCGGATCAGAACTAAACTTGGCTTCGTCCTCGGCGGAGGCGACCTTCTTCTTCGGAGATGCACGCTTGCGCTTAGGAGTCGGCGTGGTCTGGGTGACATCAACATCATCGCCGGACGAAGTGGCAGTCTTGCGAGACTTCTTAACAGTAGATTTGGGAGTGTCCTTGACAGGCGATGAAGGACAAGGCGCGGTACCGTTCTCTTCAAACGCTTTCTTCATCCGGGAGTAGCGCTTTGATGCCGCTCCAGCAGTAGTGTTGGCTTTGGCAGCGATGTCGTTCCAGTTTGGTGGCTACGACATCATTAGTGAACCTGTCATTGCGAAATATCCCAAGTGAGAATAAATCGGTACTCACTTGAGCGCGCGTATGGTGCTTGACACAAAGCCATAGAAACTGATATGTGGTACCCCCGGGGACCTCGTTCTTCTCCATAGCCTGCTTAAGGCGCGACCATCGCTTTGTGACCGCGCCTTTCTTGAGGTCAAGCGCACTGGAGACAGCGTCCCAATCAATCTATGGTAAGTTAGTATATACATGTGCGTGTGATGAGAATCATGACAAGAACGTCTAGACAGCGAAAAACACCTCCACAGCCCATGCGCACTTGGAGTGGGTTTGGTAAGACTCACAGTTGGGTTGCCGTCATTGGTCAATACCAAGTATAGGTAGTTGATGTTTTCAACTTCAGACGGCATTTCGACTGTCGTTTGTGAATAATCTCTGGACGCAGATGCTTTCTAACTGATGCTAGTGGCGAAAGTCAAGGTATCGTTGGCGCAGTCCCAAGCTTTGTTGTTGGACGTAAGAGTGAGAGAGGCAAAAGACAAACAAGTCAGCTATACATCCGTGTTTCCTTAGTGAAGGTGGTTTTCCACAAGGCAACAACAGCAAGCACCACATTACCACGATAAGCACTCTTTTCCGTAGGATCAACTCGATTGATAGTGAAGAAGAGTCTAGAGGAGTCTGGGTGAGAGTGAGAGACAGTTACAGATAAGGCAGAAGCGGTCATATTTGGCAAGAAACCAGATCAGCTGCCAGGACGCAGGGCCCGAGTATCATATGAACGATAGACTGTGTCACAGATCAATAGTTGGCATTATATATACACGGACGTACTACTTGGTCGTGAACTGCACGCTCGAAGGCTTATGCAGACACTCCCAAACCTACAGGAGCATGTGCTTCTTCATCATCTTGTCCACCGATTCCGTTTCCGACCAGTTCGGTGAAGTCCAATCCGACCTCTCTCAGCATTTCTGCATGTTCATGTGCCAGCCTCAAGCATTCGTTCCACACATTGCCGCCTTCATCAACACTACTGAGTTGCCTCTTCAATAATATGTTGAATTGGTCAATATGCTCTTTCGCCCATTTGACGCAAGCGGACATGAGCTGTTGTGGGAAGCATTTTTGAAACATGTCGACAGTGTTTTTGATGATGGTGAAATAGATGTAGGAAGTTTGGAAGATGTAGTCGGGAAGGTTACCTTCGAATATACATTGCCTGAAAGAGTCAGTGGACGGTGAACATCAATGACGAAGGTGAGAACATACCGCGTGCGAGTCTTGATGAGATTACCACGAGCTTCCAGATAGGCCTCTCGTGCGCGGTCTTCGAAACCTAGTTGGACAACCCAGCTGACGTGTTGCCTGACGGACGTGAACCAGTTGTTATGCTCTACCATATGCTTGACCAAAACATTCGCCAGCTTAGCAGCACGTTCGTTGACTTTATATGTGACGATTGTCTTGGCCATCTCGTTGCTTTTGATGTTCTTCGCAAGCGCTTTCAGGCGATCGACTTTCAGGACTGCTTCTTGAAAGTGTTGAAGCGCAATCTCAATGTCTAAGTCGTCTAGTTGACTTTCCACCCACCGGATGTTGCGCTGCTGACCATCCATATCGATAAACGTACTAACTTGTTCGTTGTTGATGCCGTCAGAAAGGTTATCCAACAACTCCGTTCTGTTCATGAAAGCAGGGTCGCGTGAAAGGAGATGGCTATAAGAGTCTTGCGTTCGATCTTTCTCTTGCACATCCGCTTCTTGGCTCTTGCGCAAGTCATCTTTGGTTTTACGAAAGGTAGCAACGAAAGCGGACTTGTCGCCGCTATCCTCTTTCTTGGTGTCGTACGTGAAGGACTCGGAGCCAGCGCGAATGATGATGCGTTCTTCGGGTGTCCTAATCACCTGAGTATCTTGCAGTGGGAAGCATCGTTGGGCCATGAATTCCATATTTGCTCTGTTGCCATCACGTTGACCAGGGACGTCATTTCGCGCTTTCTTCTCCGTTGCGATAAGGAGATGGTCATTCAGTAGCAGTAGCCGCACTCTTCGTCTCGCCTTGAGGGTCGCAGAGTCGAGTTCAAACCATCTTGTGGACTTCCACACAATATATCGCCCAGGTATAGGCGGTAGATACTTTTGCGAACCCTCGACGTCTCTGTAGAGCTGCTGCAGCTGACCAGCGCGAAGTTGGTTGAGGTCTCCGATGGAGCTTCGGTTGGCCCTTCGGGAGCTTGCAGCGTCGTTCGCGCCTGTAGCTGAAGCCGTCTGTTCCAGTGTAGTGGTCAGGTCTGACATCAACTGACGAAGTGTTCGCATCTCGCCTTTGAGCTTCTCTGCCTCCTTACTGATCTTGATGAATTGTGTGCGGTTCTGGTATACGTTATGCTGTAGGTCGAGGGATGTACGGTGTTTCGTCTTGCGCAGTTCATCTTGGTAGCGGTTGATGTCGGCCTCGGAGGCGTCTGCAAGGATGGTCGATACATCTATGCGAAGTCAGTATTCAGGCACTGAGGCGGCGACACGCAGTAGTCTCACATCGCTCTACTTCCAGGTTGGGGTCCCTCAATGCTCGTGGGTCAACCTGCAACACCCGTCCATTGGAGCTTCCAGGCGGCCGTCCCTCTCTCGTCTGGCTCTTCTCTCTGTACTGGGCGGGCATCTTTGGCATCTGCGGCATGGGTTCTCCATTCCCAAAGTCGCCAGGCAGCGTCGTGATCTTCTGGGAGTACCTCCTCTTGACCAGATCGGCCGTCTTGTCGGGTCGCTGCGGGCGTGACTGGGGAGCATCTTGCCTGGTCCTCGAGCGGCTGGATTCGTTCGAAGGACGTCCGGAGCTGGGGAGTGAAGCAGCAGCGACGCCGGCTGGCATGGGCGCACTAATCTGTCGCGGCGCGCTGATGGTGGGCGGCGGCGCGTTCTTCTTGCTCTTGTCCCCGCGCTTCTTGCGGAGGGAGATGCCCTTTTGCTTTTCCGACATCTTGCCTGCAAGATTGACGGACTACGGTGGTGAAGGCGCGAGGGGCAGTGGTTGCTGATGGTCGGTGACACGTAGCGGGACGCATCGCCCATGGATGCGTGGAGCCGCGGTCTCGAGTGTGAGCTCGGGCCCACTTTGTTGAATCGTGCCTTCCCTGAACTTGTCGAAAAAGTTAAACACCACACCACATCACCGCCATCTCCTTCGGCCATTTCCAAGGGATATACCTGTTGCTTGCTCGCCTAATTGCGCTTTTCACACCCGCAACTTGCACCGCCACCATGTCCAACTCGTCATTAAAACCGTCGACCATTGCGGCCATTAGCGCCGGCACCATCGTAACAGGTCTTCTCGCATATGCCGCCTACTTCGACTACAAGCGACGAAACGACCCCGGCTTCCGCAAGCAGCTCAAGAAGGAGTCGAAGCGAACAGAGCGGGCGGCCAAGGAGGAGGCCGAGGCACAGGGCGCCGAGCAGAAGAAGGCGATCCGGGAGGCGGTAGAGCGGGCAAACGAGGAGGGCTTCCCCAAGGACCCAGAGGAGGTGGAGGCGTACTTTATGCAGGAGGTTGCGCAGGGAGAAGGCATGGTACAGAAGGGTATGGCTTGACTTTGATCCCGCTCGTGGGACGTGGTGCTAATTCTCTGGCAGGTGCGGATAACGTGGAGGCGGCGCTATGCTTCTACCGCGCATTGAAGGTCTACCCCAACCCGCGGGAATTGATCAACATCTACGACAAGACGGTGCCCAAGGTAAGAAGCCATTGCTTGCTGGCCTGGTCTGATGATTCGCTAACACCTGGCAGCCCGTCCTCGACATCCTCGCCGAGATGATCGCAGTAGACACGTCAATCCCCGTCGGCGGCAGCAAGACACCGTCTGAGGCTGGCTCGGCGGGCGACCTCGAGTAAAAAGACGATAGCACTTCGGTGAATTCAGCACGCATTTTTGGACCCCACTCCATCTGATGACGACCCCCTGTAATATTCTTGTACATGTATCAGCATCAGCGCGGTCGGTCGATTCCACGGCCGGCGTTCCGGTTGAGCGTGATCCATCTGGCTGGGGCGGGCGTTGGCATAGATGTGGGCTTCCAATGCATACAATCCAAACAGCACTCGGCATCTCTCCATTGACGTCATGCAGTCGTACGCTTGGGTACGCACTGCTATACTACAGATTACGTGTTCGACGTTAAGATGCATGCAGCCCATGCCTGATTGCCTGAACGCCTTGCTGACAATGACTTCCTCAGACTTGCAAATCATCCCAAATAATTACAGTACGCCCTCGAGCGATTGAACCGAATTGACTGCCGGACAGCCATGTCTTATCTAACACGCGCACGACGAGTCTGCTGGTGGCTGCGAGGGGTTGATGTTCACGTCGATCACTGGACCCTGAGTTAGCATGCTCTTCACCGCAATGTGTACAACTAAACCTACTCTGACTCTGCCCTTGTTGACCTTCGCCCTCCATACCCGGTAACGCTTGCGCGATTCTCTTGAACAGTGCCTTTACATTGTGTCCGACCTTGGCGCTCGTCTCGATAAACATCAAGTTGTTCTTCTTGGCTTCCTCTTCACCCTGGGCCGTAGTGACCTCGCGCTTATCGTTCAAGTCGGTCTTGTTGCCGACCAGCACGATGATAACGTCGTTGCCGCGCTCGCCTCTAACATCGTCGACCCACTTCCTTGTGTTCTCGAATGTCTTCTTGTTCGTGATGTCGTATACCACCACGGCCACACTAGAATCGCGGATGTACGAGGGGATCAGCGAGCGGAATCGCTCTTGGCCGGCGGTGTCCCAGAGCTGCAGGCGGACGGTTCGATCCTCCAGGTACATGGTCTGCGGACAACAGTCAGTTGTTGCTCAGGAACGCGGTCACTGCAGTGGTTTCACAAAGAGCGTACCTTGCTCAGAAAGTCGATGCCGATTGTCGCTTGGTAGGTGTTGTCGAACGAGTCGTACATGAAGCGGGTGATGAGAGACGTCTTTCCCACTGTGAGGTTATGTTAGCAAACATGTTCCAAAGTGCCATGTTCGCGACAGTATGCATACCACTTTGTTCGCCCAGGAATACGAGCCTGCAGCCGGTTAGTATACGAAGTTGGTCTCCGCCGCGGAGGACAGCTCACTTGAACTTCTTGAGCGGGTTTGAGTACCCCGACTGCGCCATTGTGGAGTAGGGCTGGAGGTTCTACAAAAAAGCAAAAAACTTGGAGAGGTGCTATCCCAGAGTATCAGAAGCAATCTTCTGACCGTATGTCTTGGTGGGGTGTGATGTTTGAATAGGAGTGTCGGTCGAATCTGGAGGCCTTGTACCCTGGGCGGCCAACACCGACTACCGAGAGGCTACAGGGGTCTGGGGTGGATCTAGCCCGTGCGGCGCTTTGTTGGTCGGAATTTTGGGTCGAACTTTTTGCGACAGCCAACAACCCCACAACTTCCAACACTGCGAGCGTAAGATACAATGGCGGATACCGAAGCAGCACCCGCGCAGTACAAGCAGCCGAGTCGCAAAGGCAAGAAGGCTTGGCGCAAGAACGTCGATGTCACGCAGATTCAGTCTGGCCTAGAGGATGTGCGCGACCAGATCATCCAAGGGCATGTTCCAGTCTCACTACACATACAGCAACTTATACTAACGATTCTACAGTGGTGTCATCTCTGAAAAGACGGCCGATGAGCTTTTCGCCGTCGATATCGTTGGATCTGCCGAAATCCAAAAAGAGGTTGCGAAACGACACAAGCCTCTCAAAGTCGACGAGATCCTCGCCAAGCGCTCTGCCGTCCCCGCCGTATCCACAAGGAAGCGACTATCGGAAATTGCCGACGATGGCAAGAGAAAGAAGGCAAAGGTATCAGGCAAGGAATACGACAGGCTGAGGGCGATTGCATACGGAGGCGAGCAGGTCAAGAAGGACGTGGTGCAAGGCGGCGACGCTGCCTACGACCCTTGGGCCGTAGAAGAGGTCAAGGAAGATCCTCGATTCACGTACCTGGAGAAGAAGAAGCCCAAGGTCGAGCCCAAGACCCTTAAGCACGCGCCCATCTCGCAGGCAAAGACCGGCAAAGCCATCCCCTCAGTCCGCAAACCCACCGGTGGGAAGTCGTACAACCCGCTGTTGGAAGACTGGCAGAATGAGCTTATGCGCGAATCCGACAAAGCTGTCGAGGCCGAGAAGAAGCGCCTGCAGGAGGCTCGTGAAGAGGCTGAGCTGATGGAGCGAGCAGCCGCTGAGACGGAATCCGACTCTGGTGAGGAGAGCGTCTGGGAAAGTGAGTGGGAAGGTTTCAGCGATAAAGAAGACAAGGAGGGAAAGAAGAAGAGACCAGAAAGGAAATCTTTGTCACAACGGAACAAGATCAAGAGGAGAAAGGAGGCTCAACGAAAGGCGGTCCACGAAGCAAAGATGAAGGCTAAGGAGCAACAAGTGCAGGAGATCAAGAGGCTAGCCAAGAGCGTAGAAGAAAAGGAAAAGGCAAGAGAAGCTGTCCGACAAGCTCTTGAAAAGAAGAATGCCGAACTGGCGGAGGAGGATGACGGCGAAGAAGTGGAGCTGAGGAAGAAGCAATTTGGCAAGACACCGTAAGTATCTGTTGATGCCCCATAGACTGACCATCTACTGACCTGCCTCAGTCTACCAGAAGCCCCACTCGAAGTTGTTCTGCCAGACGAGCTCCGCGACTCCCTGCGTCTTCTCAAACCGGAGGGCAACCTGCTCAAGGATCGCTTCAGGACTTTCCTGCTTCAGGGCAAGGTTGAAGCCAGGAGACCAGTCGCCTACGGAAAGCAGAAGAAGTATCATCTGTCCGAGAAATGGAGTTACAAGGACTGGAAGCTGCCCAATTAGAGTCTTACATGACGATGGGAGAAGACCGAGATACGTACGAATGCGATTGTTTCGCGACCACTATATTCACCTAGCCTTATTTATTCCCCTTCGGTGACCCATGTATGATCACCAACAGCAGCCATAATTGGACTCAGGCTTGCCGTTCTCCTGTGATAGGTGCTGATTTTTGCAGGCAGAGGTGGATGATCCTTGCACCGCTCTCAAACGACATCGGTGATGTGTTGCCAGTAAACCCTATCCGAGCTTGGACTTCCCCTCCTTTAAAGATAAAGATCTTAATTTTGCCTCTGGAGAAGCCTACGGCCATGTTGTACAAAGCTTCAACGAAGATAAGCCTATGACAACCAACAAAGATCGAGTTGCATTCGTCCACGAGCTTGTCCTCGACAAAGACGAGGCGGCAACCTACAAGCTTCTGATTCAGAGCTTCCGTACTTGGGATGAGGCGAAACACTGCAGTCGGGACATTATAGTAGATACATGTTTGTCGTACGACAAAGCCAGCGTCAAGCACAATACAGACTATCTTTTCCGAGGACTTCTGAAGCATATTACTGACGCCGAGACCACGGAATATTTTGCCTTGATACTCGGACTTCGACAAACGAGATGCATATATCAAGATCGCTAGGGAGATGTATAAGTGGAACGGTTTTTCCAAGGCGAACATTCCCGGAGGTGTGAACGAGAAGTGTTGTCATGGGGGCCTACCCCTGAGATGGCCGCTGCGTATACTGAGCATGAAGATCGAAAGAACCAGTCAAGCAGAAGCACCTATTCTGGAATACTACAAGGTGAAAAACATTGGCCGAACGGGACTATGATTCTGCACAACATGAATCACCCGTAATAACCCGGCGCCCAGGGGATCTCCGACCTGTACTCCAGGATCAATGAGACGGCCCACAGTACGAACTGGGTTATCGATTACCCTCTGATGCTTACGTCTGTGGAAATACAATGGGTTGTCTTCAGAGTGGACGTTGGGTTTGGTATGGTATCACCCAATCTGTATACAAGGGCTGAGCAGGTACCGATTGTGGGGTACATCAGCGCACGGGCTTCTACGCGTCATCTCACGAGCGAGACAGCTTAGACATACTCGAGTCTACGCGACTCGTCAGTAGTAATGCGTTCGTGCTCTTCCTCGGCGCCCCTTTCATTCTCGACATGATCTCTCATTGTTTGGTGCGGTTCATTCCTGGCAATCCAATCTAAGCATGCCCTTCTCCTCCCGCCGCAGACAGCACGAACCAGCATCCAACAGCACCGATGAGAGCTCGCCCAAGTTCACACCCTCGCCTCGCTCTTCACAATCCTTTGATGATCAACTGTCCATGATACACGAACCGAACTCTTTCGAACTTCGAACAATCACTCCCCACGATGAACCCGCACACAAAGAAGAGCTGGGAGAAGAAGACGAGGGTTTCCTACCCAGCATACGACGCGCCTCCTTAGATTCTGTCCAGAGCTACGAGCTGTATACTCCAGATGAGGATCGAAGAGTGCTCAAAAAGCTTGATCGCAGGCTAGTCGCGTTTATGGCCTTGCTGTACATGTTAAGCTTCTTGGATCGGTCGAGTGAGTACTTTCTACACCTGGAAGGCTCAGAGGGGTGATATGTACGTCAGATGTGCGCAAAGCAGATCTGGTAGGTCTGGTGATGGACGCTGATGGAATTAATAGACATTGGCAATGCGCGTATAGCCGGTCTTGCGGATGATCTGAAGCTCAGCTCTACCCAATATGAGTGGTTGCTGTGGGCGTTCTATATTACATACATCCTATTCGAGTGGATGACGCTCATGTAGGTCTTTGCAAGTGGGGAAGTAAGCGCATCTAATGCTGTTAGGTACCGCATCGTCCCGCCGCACATCTACATATCCCTGTGTATTCTGTCTTGGGGCGTAGTTGCGTCGCTTCAGGCAGTCGCAACGTCCTTCAGCTTCCTCCTCGTTCTGCGAGCCCTCCTCGGCATCAGCGAAGCGGCCTTTGGGCCTGGCGTACCCTTCTACTTGTCCTTTTTCTTCCGCCGGTCTGAACTGGCTTTTCGAACTGGACTCTTCATCAGTGCTAGCCCTCTCTCAGCATCATTTGCTGGAGCACTAGCTTACCTTATTACGAAAGTCGGTGAGCACGGTCCACTCAGTCCTTGGAGGCTGCTCTTTCTGCTTGAAGGCTTTCCGTCCGTGTTGATAGCGGTTTGGGCATGGGATTTCGTACCAGATGGCCCGGGATCGGCGAAGTGGTTAAGCCCACGACAGCGCGAGATTGCAGTAATGAGGCTGAGATCGGAAAAGGAAAATGAAGATCAAGATGAGGAGAAGTATCAGAGTGGGCGAAGAGGACGTGTCAACTTCCACGAAGTGCTCCAAACTTTAAAGGACCCGAAGTCTTACCTGACAGCACTTATGTTCTTTTCTTGCAACGTTGCTTTCAGCTGTAAGTGTCCCTGTACTAAACGCATGCAAAACGTACATTGACATTGTATACTCACGTTCAGCTATGCCTGTGTTCTTGCCGACGGTCATACGGGATATGGGCTGGGAGTCGATCACAGCGCAAGGACTTTCAGCTCCACCTTACCTCTTCGCATTCGTTGTTGTGCTTACAACTGCGTACTATTCCGATCGCATGCAGTCACGCTCGACGTTCATCATGCTTCACTCCCTCCTCGCCACACTCGGTTACGGTACCATTGCAATATCCGGATACCTGCAGTCCGATAAGACTATGGTCCGCTATATAGCGCTTTACCCCGCCGCTGCTGGCTTCTTCAGCGCTATCACGATTATCATCACATGGACACTCAATAACCAGGAAAGTGATAGCAAGAAAGGTACTGGTATGGCTCTTCTAAACATCATCGGTCAAATGGGTCCGCTCGTTGGTACGAGCATCTTTCCCGATGAAGATGGCCCTTACTATGTCAAGGGCATGAGCATCTGTGCTGGCTTCATGCTATTCGTAGGCTTCTTAGCCGCAATATTGAGATGGGTGTTGGTAAGAGAGAATCGTAGGTTGAACAATGGTCGTAGCGCAGAATATGCGGGTGTACCTTTGGATGAGGGTGGAAGCATGAGAAGAGAAAGAAAGAAATTCATGTTTATGTTGTAATTGCAATAGCCAGTAAAACATATTCCAAGACCCTCCTTTCTGGGGCGAAACGACATCGCATATACTTTGACTGATTGCGTGTCTGGTGGCGATGGTCATCTCTATCAACTCTAAGAGGCCTGTGTCCGGTGCCCTGTCTGGGTTGTGCTACCTCCCGGCCTAGCTGTCGAAGCATGACTTGTCACAGATGGTGTCGATGTTGGACCAGTTATTATCGATCCCATGGCACCATTTTGCTGGAGCAATTGATCTTGCTCGAACTTCGGCAAGCCAGCTGCTTGTACTGCTCCTTGGGCAGATGTAGTTGACTGGGTCCGTGTGGGAGGAGCCGATGATCGATGGGAACAAGCAGTGTGGTCAGGTACATGCACGGATAATGGTGCTGTCGCTTGTGTCGAAACTGGTGCAGGGGATCCAACCGCTCCACCGCTACGATTAGGCGTGGGAAGATTCTGGGAAGGGGGAGGTCGACTTCGTCGGTCTCGGCTGCGGCGGCAGGAGAAGCACATAAGCACTCCAATTACCAAGCATGGGATTAATACGGCCATGAAGACCATACCTGCTCTGTCCCTTGCGTTCATAATGGAAATGGGCACGTGTACACTGGGCTTGAAACAGAGTGAGCTGGTCAAGAGAAAATGGATTTTGTGCAGTGACAGTTGACTTTGTATTCATGAACGGCAGTCTCGTTGATCATGGCGTACCTAGGTAGTTACGTTCGTTGAAGCGATCGTTTGTTAAAAACGTGTCGATAACTCAAACGGCTTTCGTGGGCTATATACAATCGCCATCAGCTGACAAGGTCTATCTGCTCCTATTTACAATAGATCGATCCGTTCGATCGAGTGCAGTTCGTCCCGGTACCGTGAAATTCGCGCATAGCAAACCTTCGACACTGACCCCATATTTCCTCAACTAGGAGCCGATCCCCTCCTGGGTCTTCCTGCCCGCGCTAGCACACTCCTTTGCCGATGCCCTCCAAGCATTTCATAAGTAATATCTAGGTCGGCATAGGCCGAATCAGGTAACTGCGGTCTAACCATCTCAGGCGTGATATCGAACCCGTCATACAGCTCATCTCGTAACTGCTGTCGTCTCTGCTGCCTCATAGGAAGCTTATGTGTTGTATTGTCCGTGTGAATTCGTGGAGTGTATCGAGGCTGGCCGGAGACATATTTGTTCGGCGCATATCTCTTGGAACGGTTGTAGGATGGTTTGGAATGTGGAGAGAAATACGCTCCATCGAATGGCGGCGAATTGAAATAAGGCAATTGCATCTCAGTCGTACGTGATGGAGTTGGTCTTTGACAGTTTCTTCCACTTCGAGGATGGCGATTGCACCAAAGACATAGAGCAGTAAGGACAATGATCAGAGGAAGGAATACGATTACAAAGATGACTCCGGCAAGATCTTTTCCATCCATGGCTTACTGTTGATCCTTCTACAGAGTTCACACAGCGACGGTAGATATATCAATATGCGTTGAGAGAGAGATGGGAGCAGCCTCAAGAAGCTGGTACTGAGTTGGAACAATCCCTGGAGTTGGAGGGTTTGCCGGTATTGTTTGGCGAATCAAGCGTTTGTTATGGCAGACAATCGTTGATGTATTTGCGCATCAGACTCTCCAAATTATGGAACAGTCAATCAAGCTTGTGAAATATTGAGCCGGAACAGAGCATCGGTGATACCGTTTGAAACTCTAAATGTGTAGGAGGTACGTGCATGATTTGAAAAATAACTGAAAATTATGCAGGCTAATTGTATCTTACAAGTCTGGTTAAGTAGACTGAAACCCCATCCTATAGCCATCCGCTCAGACGGCACTTCCTCACATTGAGATTGTAAGACCTAGTGTAGTGCCCTAAGCGTTTGCTCAACTGCAATACCCAATCCTCCAACGCCCAGCACAGTCCATAGCCACTTGTTGCTTAGCTCATCAACGCTTGGCCAGAAAGCATTCTTGTCAGCCCTGAACTTCTCCAACTCGCGGAACTTGTCGGGTTGAGAAGCAGAGTATCGACGCTCTTGATGTTTCTCTTTCTCGGCATCGCCGCCAAAGAAGCGGAGGAAGGCATAGTTTGCGGCGGGACCTAAGAGTTCGACAGGAGCGAGCATATCGGAACCGTAGAGCATGACGATGAATGATATGTGTACGAGGGCGTCGCCGAGGTAGCTTTAAGGAATTAGTGTGTGATGTAGAGTTAGATCACGGGTACATACTTGGGGTTGCGGACAATGCTCCATACTCCCTCGCGCATAATGCCCTTGTTGCCCTCTGCCTTGAACTGGTCCAGCTGGTAGTCGGCGAGTGTCTCCAAAGCCAGACCAGATGAAAACAATCCGACGGCAAACATCTGAACGAAGGGATGGTAACCTGTCATAACAGCACCTTCGTGTCGGAACGGCGCGGTAAATGGAAGACTAATGAGCATCTGGAAGAAAGCCTCAGGAACGAAAACCTTGAACAGAGCACTGTTCCAGAAGCCTTCCTCCTTCTTGACCTCGGCATATCGCGGATCGTCCTCACCTCGCTGAAGGGAGCGGCGAACGATACGGTAGAAGAGACGTCCTCCCCATAGTGTGACACCGGTAAGGATAACACGCTCGTGCCATGATAGACGACTGAATGCCTGGGAAACTGTGTAGCCTTGAGCGAGACGGCGTCCAACAGCTGACCACCAAGCGTTCACAACCTGACCGCTCGGCCAAAGCCAGTCCTTGGCTTCAACGCGGTTTGTGTATCGTGCAGCCCCATATGCGATGAGAGCCAGACCAGAGTGTAGGGTGAGCGAAGGGACAAGCGTGTCCTTCAAGATGCCTACGTCGAAGAGTGAAGCATTGTGAACATGCGTCTTGGAGTGAGTTGTATCCACGTAAGCCGAAGATGTCGGCGTCGCTGAGCGGTTCGTGGCGGATCTCGAACCACCAGAGCTGGGCTGCAGGTATAAACCGTGAGGTTTCTCTTCAGCGACCTGGAAGCGGACGTCAGGAGGACGCGTCGGGTCGCTTGACGACGAGCTGAACCAGCCAGACGCCATAATTTCAGCAGTATCTATCGAACAAGAGGTAGGTGGTGTGAACTGAGGTCGCGCGAGCTGTCACAAGCTTACGGCTTTAACCTTCTGGTCTCTGAAGCTTTCCCCGCATTCTGGCGGATGCAGGCGCGTCTGGCTGCATCCCATTCGTCCGGTTGCAGGTGGATACTCGTACCTCAATTAAGTACCCCCATTATGATCCAATGATGAGGTTGTGTTTAATCAGCCATCCGGATTGTGTTTGAAGTCTGTCGCGTTCGGTTCGCATATTGAAAGTGGATTCGCGTGACGAAAGACGATGATGTCACCATGGCCCATGCTTCACGCCAGTACCCCACATAGTACCCACGGCAGGTACACGCGAACGTACCCCTCATAGCTCACCGGTCATACTCGACATGAGAAGCATGTAGAGCTCATAAATAATCGTCACACGTTCAGGCATTGTAAACTCCAGTCATGGCATCCAAAAAGCCTCATGCATTCAACCCACCCTCCGTACCTGAACCCGCCCCAACCTACAATCAAGTCTGCATTACTCCTGTAGTGTCATCATCCAAACTGATCACTCTTGCTGGTCAAACAGGCATGCGAAAAGATGGTCCCATCTCCTCTGATCTCAGAGAGCAAGCAAAGGGCGCCTATGATAGCATTCACAAGTGCTTAGCCGCTGCTGGTGCAACACCACGGGATATCGTACGCATTAGACTTTGCTTAAACTCCCCCGAGTTGTGATTGATTCCTATCGACTTGGCTAACTACGCTTCCTATCCAGGTCATGGTCCGACATTACATTGTGAAGGAAACTGGTGACCCGAAGCAGGACGAAAAGGACGTTGTAGATCGTGGCTGGGGAGAGCTTTGGATGGAATACATGGACAAGGAGGCTGAAGGACATAGACCACCTGATACGGTGGTTGGTGTTGCAAGTCTAGCGACGAAAGAGCTGTTGTATGAATGCGAAGTAACGGCGCTGATTAGTTAGTACTCAACAAGTAGCTCCGTATTTCTTCGTGAGCCGGGTGCCTCAGAAATCTGGTTACTTGCTGATTCAGTGCATTGCTGGATTCGGCAGAGGAGTGCTGAGTCATTTGCGCTTACATCCAAGCTCAGCTTTGTCCACTACTATTAAGGCAACCGTTACGTGCATGGCACTACGAAAGACAGAGACCCTAAAGATAAGTCTGCGAGTTGTCCATAATTATAAAGGGGAAGCTGCAGGCCCTAGAACAGTGATTGCAAATTACCATGGCGGACTACAATCAACCCACAGCGGATATAGTAGCTTCCATCAAGCATTCCTACCACGCGTATCGGCACACTGGAGACATCGACCGCAAATGCTCCTTCTTCTCTCCAGACTGCATGCAAATTTGCCGACCAACGCCTTCCTATGCGGCAACCAATCGTGATGAGATCGTGCAGTATCTGCGAGACGCACAACAGGGGAAGATACCAATAGATGCACCTGCTTCATCCTCAACTTGCATCTCGGGTCGCCCTGATTGTTATGCAACGGGATCACGGGCGACAACGCGAGCAAAAGAGCGAAGCGTCTACACCATACGCCCGTTGCGGCCCGGCGAGTTCGGATTTGGCTCCGATGACATCACTGCGCCTGTTGGCTTGACTGTGGAACAGATGAAATCAAGAGCTATTCAGGAAGGATGGGTTGGAATGCGCGTCAATTTGTGGGACGAAGGAAAGGAAGGTCTTTTGGTGAAGGTTCAATACTGGTGGCGCCTCAGAGAGACTGCGAACAACAAGAGATTGGCGGGCGATCATTCAGGAACGGACTGGGATCAATGTTTGCACGATATCATGTTCCTTGGTCCTAAGGACGGCACCGAAAACGAAGAGGAGTTGGAGTTGCTAGAATAAAACCCGCGGACAATGAAGAGTTCCGGAGTTGCGCATTATGTGCAAGTTCTAGAAGAGGTAGCAGACTAGCAGCCGTTGCAGGGCTTGGGAGGGGTATGATCGGCTAGACCTGCCGCTTGGAGCTTGGAGCGCCTGTATAGAATGCCATCAACGAATAATGAAGATAAGCATATAATACCGTTGCATGAGAGACTCCTACTTCCTTACTCACCGTACCTCATCTTTTAAACACTCCTGCATTCATAATGGCGCTCATATCATTATTGTTTCTACTGTCGTCTGTCCAGCTCTCCACAAGCGCTCGAGACATTACATTCCCACCAGTCTCTGGATACTCATCGCAACAAATCATTCCTCAGCAGAACCTTGGATTAGATATCACTCATGCGAAGTTCGCAGGTCTGATGACATATGCCAACCTTCCTTACGTACACTGTTTGGCTCCGGAACAGCACGATGTGGTGCCATTTGACATTGCAATCCTAGGTGCACCATTCGACACAGTGGGTCAAGTTTGTCCTGTGGATGACACTCGGAGTGTCACTGTTGGACGTATCACTTTGGAGAAGGCTAACACCCGGTAGGGTGTTACCGCACGACCTGGAGCGCGCTTCGGCCCGAGTGGAATTCGACAGGGCTCGAGCCGGATATCACCAGCCAGTGCTTGGTCCATATATACAGGTATGTTGCAGTGTTGTAGGGGTGTGCGTGTAGGGACTTGGACTTGGTTCCGCAAGCACGGACTTCACTTTGTTGTGCGAGGCGGTGATACTGGTAACGACTCTTGTCACACCACGTTATCTTGACGTGTCGTGTTCGTAAGGCTCGCGCGCCAAACCACCTGCTGTGCTATGGCCAGCGCGTCGATATTGTTGAATTTCCACTTGCCATCATGAAGCTTCGCTCGTCATTATGAGATAAGACACGAATGCATTACTAAAGCTTTTCAGGTGAGAACGTGTTTGAGGATTGGGCAAAAATCGTTGACTGCGGTGATGCGCCATTGACATTCTTGGTGAGGTGATCCCAGCAAAACAGAGAAGAACGAGAGCTAACCAGTTTGGAAGGACAACACTGCAGCCTTAAAGCAGCTTGACAAAGCACATGAAGTTAGTAACCCCAAGTTGTGATCGACTCAGGCGTCTAACTGTCATTCTCAAGATCGTGTCCGCAAGACCTACCAATTCGAGCGAGCACACAACACCAAAGATTGTGACGTTGGGTGGTGATGTAAGTGTCTGCGCGAATTGCATGTGAGACATACACTGACTTCATACACCTATGATTAGCATACCACAACGCTATCTGCGCTGCGATCGACTCACAACCATTGGGGCCCGGTTAGCGTCATCCACTTCGACAGCCATTTGGGTAAGTTAGTAATACTACAGCCTGGACTTTGCTGATTACTCGGAAGACACGTGGGACCCTGAAGTACTCGGTGAGCAAATTCATCCCGATGCATGACTAGCTACTAATATACCGCAGGCGGAGGCATCTCCCATTACGCGTAAGTCTGCATGTCGAAATTGACTCCATAACTTGCTGAAAATTCAAATCAGAGGTGTTAATCACGGAACATTCCTACATATCGCGCATGAGGAAGGTTTGATTCGAAACACTAGTATTCACGCGGGCATTCGAGCTCCCATGGGACGACCAAAGGGTGATCTGCGAAATGATATCCGATGCGGGTTCGAGATTGTCAAAGCCAGAGAAATCGATCAATTCGGTGTAGCAGGTGTCATTGCTAGGCTGAAGTCTCGGGTGGCTGGAACAAAGGTTTACATCAGTGTCGATATCGATGTGCTTGATCCTGCATTCGCACCTGGTAAGTCCCTGTTGGGAACATACCTCTGTGCGACAGAACTGTCACCGTGCCACAAGCGGTCACCTTCAACACAGCAGCAATATTTCGAAGTCATCACTCTCGAAGGTTAGGTAACGGTGTGACTAACATAGAATGATAGCTACAGGAACAGCCGAAGTCGGTGGCTGGACTACGCGAGAGCTCTTGTCCATATTGGATGGTCTCGAAGGACTGGATGTTATCGGAGCAGATGTCGGTAAGTATCCTTTGGTTTGGAGCAAGTCCACTGTGAGATTGGTAAATGCTGATATAGTACACCCCACACAGTTGAAGTGGCTCCTATCTACGACAACCCGGGTGAAACCACCGTTCTGGCTGCTGCAGAAGTTGTGCACTCTCTTATCGCACTAATGGTAAAGTCCTCTTCTTAGCAAAGACAACACGGTACGATGCTAGAGATTGCACTGTGGATGTCGATTGGCAAACTATGGTGTAGGTTAGTGTCGATCTGTGGTACTTGCTGAGTCGCTAGGCAGGCTGGTGGAGTAGGAGCTATATAAGAAATCTGCCGGCTATTGCATCTCTGCACTGTGAGTACGCCAATAGTCTCCTATTACCGGGCTGTACAAGATCAACTGGCAGGTGAAGGTGATATGTGTATGGGCAGTTGATAGTCGTCATTAAACAGAGATTGGGGGCGTTACTGATGACAAAGCAACCGCGACGGAGTGATTACACAGATGAGGTTGTAGCCTTCTTGATTTGCTTCTCTGCATTGTGCTAGTCAATAATGGTTCGTCTTCTAGTCGGGACTTGGAGAAGAATGTTGTTCAAAGATTAGCACCCTCCGAAGGCAATCGGCCGACTATGTTGTACCGCTTGCTGAAGAACGTATGCCAATCGTTGAGTACTTGCTTTTCCTTGTCGGAAAGCTCTGAGTAGTCAGATATGCAATCTTCAGGCTTGAGGGAAGAAAGCCCAAGGGCGCGATTGGGCTCTTTCCCCGCAAAGACTGGCACACGGGGTTAGCTCTTGTGATACGCAATATCTCTTTCAGGGGTGGCGAACCGTGATAGCCCTTCCCGGGTGCATACGTCTCTTTACCACTCACGTCAAAGACGTCACCCTGAATCAAAATCAATCCTTCTGCATGTGCAAGATACCATACTTCAGGAACAGTGGTAGATACCTTGATAGCGACTAGAGTTGGAAAGCCATCATTTGTACCTGCTGCTAGTCAGCGACTGGCCACCCAGCATTCGCCAGTCATGGAGAAGCCGTACCATCACACTTTGCGAGGTAATCGCGCTCAATGACATCATCCTTCGGTGGATTCAGTGTGACGGGTTGCTTTGGCGCGAACCTCTCTTTCTTCGGCTGCTCTGTAGCATCTGACATGGTGGAGGGCTGTATATCGATGTTGGTGATGTGGAACGTTGAATGCCCACGATGGGAAGTCACGATGTTAGCTTCGGCATGGCAGGGTGGGGCTGAGGCTAGGGTCGCACAAGCCTCATTCCGCCACAGACTTCTTCATCCCGCAAGGCCACAGGTAGCACTTCCCTGACGCCATCCAGTTCGCTAAATCAGTACGCCCATCATCGTCTGCCCGCTAGCATATGCTTAAGTATTTTTCACAAAGTTCCGAGCCATTCTCAATATGCATCTCTGGTTGAGCCGCTAATAGTGTTGAGTCTCCTTCTCAGAAGCATACCGGATAACGTTTGCAGCTTGCGTGAGATTGTATTTCGATCTACCCTATATTTGGTGATATACACATACAGAGCTAATGGTATACAGTGAATGTGTGAATGGCCGGACGTGGTGGCTTTGGACCCCGAATCTCACAGGCGTCAAGACCTGTCGCTTAAGCACGATACGACCGCCCAGGCGTACAACAATGACAGAAACCCAACAAGTACGACTACAATATTTCCTCCTATTATCTGATCCAGATACTCGAAACTCGCTGGGAAAATATAAGCTCTTTTAGACAAAGAAAAGACTCTAGATATACAACAAGTAGCTATGGGTGGCTTCTTGTTTCCCACTCGTGCAGGGACAACTACCTTCCACTGGCGACGGTGTATGCTGACTGCCCCCCATGTGTTGCAGAATTGTATTGTTTCTGTCTTACACAGTCGCTACAACTCATCTCTCGTTGATACCATTCTCGTCTGACGTTCCAAGCGCCGAAACATTGATGGCCAGGATCGTTGCGTGCGAAATGGCAATGCTGTATGAGCAGATGCTCAACATGGCTGCAAGAGAATGTGATCTTCTCATAAAAGCACATTTTCTTCTGTGTCGATGGTATGACTGCTTGTTCGGTCTTGTGTTCGGGCACTATAATCATTGTCAGCTTGTTGGCTATGGTGGAACCCCGCAAACGTACATCGAGATTGCACGTTTGTGGCTTGTACTCGAGATTTGGTGGCCGTGGTATACACGTGCCGAACTTTTGTGTTATCGGCTGTTGGTACGCAGAATTTGAGAAGGTTGTGGAGAAAATCTGGGGAAGTCTAGGGGTTGCACTGAAAAGGAGAAAGTCGCGACTCTTTATATGCTTCTTTGACAAACTTCTTAGCCGCGCCTTCCTTTGAACAATCTCATTTACTGGAAAGAGTGCCTGCAGCAATTGAGTTACGCATCACATACGGGCTTAGGCTAGCTGATTGCCTGACAGGTCAAAGATGTCAGTCGTGTCGTTGTACTATCGCAACCCCCACGCTCTTTTTTCCTTCCTACTGGAACAGAGTGCAGACTGAAATTTCTGTGACACAGTTCCATACCAGAAGGATTCATACGCATCTGCAGCCGGCACTCCTTATGCACGCCTTTTCACAGTCCCTAAATGCTGGTAGTTGAGCCTTGGTGCTCGACTACTCAAAAGTTGGCCATTGGCGAAAACACCGCGCCCAGCTTGTCTGCTAGAAGCTAGTCTGGGAAGGAGTCATTCAATGCCCAGGTTCGACCTACACGGACACCCGACGCGTTCAATTGGTCCTGCTGTACGGTCCACGGTTATGGTCGCTGTAGACAATACGCTTTCGTCCCGGTGGAAGCTTAACAAACATGAGTTAAAAGTCTACGGAAAGCCACCTTTGCGCTCGAACGCACATGAGAACCAAAGGACGCTGGCCGTGGTATGCAGGATAAGCTTTTGGGTACCTAGGTACCGAGCTCTGCTGAACGATTGCTTACGCCCCGTTGATCAAACTAGTGTACCAGGGGCTGCGGATCTAATTACGAAAAGTCCAGCATGCATCGGGCTACCCGTTTCCCCGTTGTGCTCAGCACGCGGTCATGCCACGGCTGCACAGATGCCTGGTTTGACACGATCGTCTGTAGCCTCTCACGAGTCGGTAGTTGAATCAGGTCAGCACATCTGATCTTGAGGCGTACATCGCATGCTAACAAACAAGGGTGATCTTTTCCTTCTCGATCTGGCCTTGTGTAGCATGTCATGGTGACATGAAGATGCGAGCATGGACCCCAATTATCAAAGCTCGGCCGATAGGATGACCACATTGAACATCGTTCATGAGCATGAACCTCTCACTGGCTTAGGACTTGAGAGCCAATCCCTTCCCTACCCTGGTTATCACAACTCCCAACCGCTTCCCCGGTTTAACCCCCAGATCGTTGGTGTGTGTTTGCTGTCATGCGCTTTCACCCATAGGCGAGTGTTTTCTGAGCTTGGTTGTCCGTCGTTCATTGTTCCTCGCACAAATTCACAAAGGTTGTTACTATCATGGTCAAACCGCTGTACCGCTCTACGAAATGCTAGTGAGAGTCTTCCATTCCCTACCTGTTGTAAAGCCCTACACTTAATCTGGTCTATTTCTTTGGATGGCTCCTAGTGGTACCAGCAAACGAAAAGCACTGTGAGTGCTCATAAGTTATCAAGCCACCATCGTAGTACCGCAGAACACTACAGATTTCGAGACTTGTAAGATGGTTCTCCATGCAAAACGGTTCGTGAATGAGGAGCAAAGCAGGCGCTGGGGAACCGGTCTGTGAGCCGGCCCTTGCACCTGCAGATGGTTTTCTCTCGAGGTGCTGATATCGTTGCCCTGCCCTGCTATCTCTGTACTACAACTGTATACAACTGTATACAACCAACAGGGGTGAATGGAGTCAACCGGATTGTCAGCGTAAATTTGAGCTGCAGCCAAGGAAAATATCCCTGGAGCTGTGCCTACGGCTCGTTCTTGAGGCAGCCGCGTCTTCTATCCGCCTTGGATGTGAGCATGACCCATGATACTCAAGGGGCTGTTCCTTGGCTGGCAGTAGGGTGTATCGAGTACTGGAGAAAGTTACTACAAACCTGATTTGTTGGTGGTAGTAGTATACGTCAAAGAAAAACGCAGTGGAAGACGCACCCGATTTAGGCACACGATCAGATGTTCCGGAAACACAAGATCCATCACGATCGATCTCATCTAACAGTGCGATCTTTGGATCAGAATGAGCAGTGCCATCAACTTTGTCTGTGTTTACTGACTCGGTATCGAACTCAAAGCAAGGCACTCGCGTTCTCGTACATACGCCGCATCCACGAACCGATAAGTTGTGCAGACGGCTTCACCCGCGAGCGTTTATGCGCAATGTTCCTTCCAGTCACTGCAGCCGGAACACTGCATATGCGCTCCTTTGCACACCACGGCAATACTACGATGCAGGATCCGTACGAACAGATTCCGATATCGTTCCTCGGCATATTCCGCCGGGGGAAAAACCGGTGGACTGTTCAGAAATTTCAAAACCATATGATCCTAGGTAAAGAGGCCATACACGAGTTTGACTACCTAGATATTCTAAAACGTACACGTCAAGTACATCTCAAGTACAAATCTAAGCTCCTGAAAATGTCGGTGCCACTGTGAATCGTAGAAATAGCTTGCTCTATGAACTCGCACATCTATGCACTCTCCATACGACACGTCGTCTCGAGTGGTTGGTACTCCCACACTCCCCGTTCCTCAGCCAGCCTCCATTTTATCAATCGTCTTCCCTGTAGGACACCGTACCCAAAAGGAATGGCGTCTCGACGGAAGTAGTCTAGGCGACTTAATCAGCGTACACACAGAAATTGTAACGAATCACCAAGACAACGATTTGGTGGGTAGCAAGAGAACAAGGGACAAGCAGAAGCGAGTATGGTCCGGGGCGAATCATCGGCCAGGCTCCGACAGTGGGTAAAGTGGCTTGCAGCGGAATGTTCTGCTTCTTCATCATATTCCATGTTGTCAAATGTCCAAGGCCGCGGAAGAAAAACACGAGACAAAGTCAGCAAAACCATGGATCAATAACCACTTTTTCCATTGACATCAACGCCTTCGCTAATGCTACTAACGACATGCAATCATAACCTTTATTTTCCAGCTTTTCTTGCTTTCCTCGCTTGCCTCTTCTTCGCAATGATTCT